GTTTGGGATTTGGGATGTTTAGGGGTTTGGTCGTTTGGGGGGTTCAGGGTTACATAATGAACAGTTCAGGCGATTCATCGGTCACGTGCCAGGGTTGATGGGCTCAGGGTGCTCTGAAGGACTTCTTCTCCGCAGCCGCACTTACTAGAACCCTTGTTGGGGGTTTTTAAGCAGATGTTAGTTTAGTGTGTACTCCCCCTGCAGGTGTTCAGAGTTTGGGATGACCCAGAAGTCTCCAGGGTTGGTGCAAGGCATAGGACATCAGCAGGGAAGAGGGCTGAGAGGCTTCGGCCCGAAACTCCTAAACCCTAAACCCTAAACCCTAAACCCTAAACCCTAAACCCTAAACCCTTGTTCTTTGAACCCCGACTCTTTACGTCAGCTGGCAGGATGACGCTTGCGCCGACTTACATCCAAGAAAACTTAACCCTAAACCCTAAACCCTTTTTACAGCCAGGCCTCTGAAGTCTGCTGGGTAAGCATGCTGACACACCCCAAACCCTAAACCCTAAACCCTAAACCCTAAACCCTAAACCCTAAACCCCAAACCCTAAACCCTAAACCCTGATCCTCCCAAACCACGATACAGCCTTCCCGGCGTACTCCACGTGTGTGAGAGGAAGATGTCGAAGGCCTCACTGGGGTTTAGGGTTTAGGGTTTTAGGGTTTAGGGTTTGGGGTTTAGGGTTTTCCGGTTTTAGGGTTTAGGGCTCAGGGTTTCGGGCCGAAGCCTCTCAGCCCTCTTCCCTGCTGATGTCCTATGCCTTGCACCAACCCTGGAGACTAATAAACCCTATTTTGCCACAATAAGAGGAATGCATATACACATACATATATGTATATATATATATACACATGTGTATATACAATGGCATTACTGTATTATTTCCTTTTTTTGGAGGGGGCGGGGAGTTCTCAAGCGAATAGTAGTAAACCCTAAGCTGCCAAAAACAGAGAGGAACGCCCTGACACGGCCTCAACTGGCCCCGAGCGGTCCCACAGGCCGGCTCGGTCCTGGGGGGGTTTGAGTGTCATCCCTCCACCCCCTGAGAAAGGCCTTTTGTGGCATTTCGGGTTTAGGGTTTCGGGTCTAGGGTCTAGGGTTTAGGGTTGAGGGTCTAGGCTTTTTTGCCACCCGCCTACCTGACCTGTGCATCCGAGGTTTAGGGTTTCTGCAAGCACTCTCTGCAGCGGCAGGCTGCACGCCAGTGCAACCGAGGTCTAGGGTTTAGGGTTTAGGGTTCAGAGTTTAGAGTTTAGAACTTGGGTTTAGCTGAACGAACCACTCAGGGACAGTTTGGCCATTTCATGTGTAGTCATCGGACCCTATCAAACCCCGACTAGATGCCCCATGGATGGCCATCCCATCAGTAGATTCTTCAACAATAGTAAGCCCAGATTGAAGAGCACTTAAATAAGTATCGTTCAGCACTCAGCACTTACAGGATCCCCCTCCCCCCCTACTCCCGCCACCCCCCCCATTTTGGCGGGTGCTTCGTATGACAGGAGGTTTGGGCTTCTTTCGGCTGGGTGGGCAGCTGGCTGGCAGCTGGGTTGCCCACAGCTTGGAGGTTAGGGTTTAGGGTTTAGGGTTTAGGGTTTAGGGTTTAGGGTTTAGGGTTTAGGGTTTAGGGTTTAGGGTTTAGGGTTTAGGGTTTAGGGTTTAGGGTTTAGGGTTGAGGGTTTAGGGTTTAGGGTTGAGGGTTTAGGGTTTAGGGTTCAGGTTTAGGGTTGAGGGTTTAGGGTTCAGGGTTTAGGGTTTAGGGTTTCGGGTACATTGCCTTCAGGCAGGTTGTGGACTGCAGTTGGTCGTTTCAACGACTTACTGGTTCTTAGTAAGCAATGAGGGAATTCGGCACCTTATACCCCCCTAGATATGTGTATGAATGCTCTGTATGGGACTGTATAGGTACCTAGAGCTACCGTAGAAGGCCATGGTATTCATGGCACCCTGCATAAGCGGTTGCTGCAATAAACGGCAGGGCCGAAGCTTGAACCCTAAGCCCCAAACCCCTTCTGGCGGCACAAACACGCGCAGAGCCCCTGAATCGCACGCGACTTACGGTACAAACAAGGAAGGACCCCTAGGAACAGTGGTTAAGAGTGTTTTAGGTCTGTTTTGTGCCACCCCCGTGGCACACACCGAAGCGCCACTCCCGCAGGAACTAGTCTAGGGTATCTAGGGCCTTTTTTTGAGGGCTTTAGTTGGGTAATCTAGGGTTGAGATTCAGGGGGGCTTTACGCATGACCCCCAGAATTGCAAGTCTACTGCGGTTTAGGAAACAGGGTTTAGGGTTTGAGAGTAGGGTTTAGGGGGGGAATTCCAGCAGACCGATGCTTTAACTAGACATTTCGGGTTTCCGGTTTTGAGGGTGCGACAGGAGACTACGTTTCAAATGGCCATACTAAACAACATACTATTCCTACCATACAAACTACCCAAATACCGATTCCATTGCCCCAAACCCTCAACCCTAAACCCTTTTGCAGCTGGACTCCCTAAACCCTGAACCCAAAACCCGATAAACCCTAAACCCTATATTTTGAACCCTAAACCCTAAACCCTAAGCCCTAAGCCCTAAGCCCTAAGCCCTAAGCCCTAAGCCCTAAGCCCTAAGCCCTAAACCCTAAACCCTAAACCCCAACCACCAAACCGATGTAATGTCCTCCTCAGGCAGGTCAAGAGGGGACTGGCGCCACAACCGGCCGCCACGTCGCAAGGACGCGCGCAGTGAGATTCCACGGAGGATTTCCCTGTCCACCTTCAATCGCTTGTGAGGACATGGAAATGAAGAAACAGAAACTCCTACCGTTCAGAATAGAGACTTTGAAACAGAGAGCACGGAACATTCACAAACCAATTACGAGTAGAACGTGCGATTTGGGGAATCAATGTGGACTGTTCGCCATGTTCGGGGATTATAGTTGGTCATCGACTAGGCTCCTGTATTGCACCTGAAGGTCCTATCTTCTGTTGCTGGCGAAGCTCAACCCCTGAACCCATCACCCTAGATAAACCCTAAACCCTAAACCCTAAACCCTAAACCCTAAACCCTAAACCCTAAACCCTAAACCCCCCCCAGGGGCGCCTGCAAATGGCCCATCTTGTCTTTTGGACTCCCTGTGTCCAGTGCTGGACCATGGCCAACCTTGGCACACTGGAACATTTCTCAGGGAACCTGGCCACGTTGTCTAAGTATGTTGAAAAAGTAGCTGAGTAAATATGCGTGAACGCTATACTACCCACGTGCTGCATTCACATGCTACTACGATCTCTCCTGGCGCCCTAAACCCTAAACCCTAAACCCTAAACCCTGAACCCTGAACCCTGAACCCTGAACCCTAAACCCTAAACCCTAAACCCTAAACCCTAAACCCTAAACCCTAAACCCTAAACCCTAAACCCTAAACCCTAAACCCTAAACCCTAAACCCTTATCAGACGTAAGGGGCCGAAGCTGCGGGAGAGCGCGGAGGAGTCTGGGCGTAGGCGTCCACGGCCTCCAGCACCTCTTTGGGTGCCTCGGGCTCCTCATCCGCGCAGCAGCTGGGTCTCTGCCCCATCTCTAGCCCTAAACCCTAAACCCTAAACCCTAAACCCTAAACCCTAAACCCTGCAGAGCCCAAGCTGGGGAGAGCAACCCACAGCCGGGCTCGGAGCACACCCTAAAACCCCAGAGCTCAGATCTAGATCGACAGACGAATTTTCTAAGGGGGTTTAGGGTTTAGGGTTTAGGGTGGTTCATAAGAGCACCTAATCTTTAACAAAGGAACAAAGGTCCACTCTGAGTCCTAGTCTGCTGACACGCGTTGCTTGAGCCCGGCCACAGAGAGGAGTTAGGGTTTAGGCTTTAGGCTTTAGGCTTTAGGGTTTAGGGTTTAGGGTTTAGGGTTTAGGGTTTTCGGAGGTCGTTTTGCAGTGACTTAGTAGGGGTTTAGCTTGGTAGCCCAGAAACCATATCATAATAAGGGCACCCTTCTTTAAAAGGGACCCTAAGGCAAAAAAAGGGTAAAGGGTACCACTGGGCTACCAAGTTAGGGTTTCGGTTTGAATCTTCGAAGCCCAGGAGCGACCCTTCTTACCCTAAAACCCAAAAACCTCAAACCCAAAACCCTAAAACGTGGGTTACCCTGTTTCGGTTAGAGGACTGTGCCCCTGACTGGTCTGAAAGACTTGTGGAAGCCCCTCAAGGCCTGACTCGTTGGGAGGCCTCTGGAAGCCCAGTGAAGGCTACATAGTCACTCCGGCCCAGAATGTCCGCAGCGCAAACGTTAAGGGGTATCAGGTCCTGTCGCCCAAGGGCTCCAAGTGATTCCAACCCCAAGTATCCCCAAATGAACCAAAGGCAAGGGCCAAGAGTGCACAAGTATTCGACAAGTGTTGCAAGTGCCCTGACAGTTTACCAAAAGCTGCAAGCACTGTCTCAAAGTGTTCCGTGTGTCCCAAGGGTCCCAATTGTTCCAAGCGTTTCAAGTGTTCCCAAGTGGCTCCAGCGTCTCCTAGACATGTTTCACATGTGGGGGTTTTCGAAATTAGGAGTACCTTATTGGGGGCCCCTTCAAAAAGCAATCCTACTGCTTGGGGGTCTATTATAGGGGTCCAAGATTTTCGTAAGCGCCAATGTGAGCTTGGAATGGCTTTGGCTTGGTGTGAATGGTCTATCTCGCTGTGAGTTGCGAATGGGTAGCCTTGGGGTGGGAAATGTCTTCACACTACTGCGTCCAGCTGACCAATTGCCGCACCCTAAACCCTAAACCCTAAACCCTAAACCCTAAACCCTGAACCCTGAACCCTGAACCCTAAACCCTAAACCCTAAACCCTAAACCCTAAACCCTAAACCCTAAACCCTAAACCCTAAACCCTAAACCCTCAACCCTCAACCCTAAACCCTAAACCCTAACCCTAAACCCTAAACCCTAAACCCTCACACCCCCCTAACACCCCTAAACCCTATAAACCATAAACTCTAACACCCCTCAACCCTCGGACCCAAGCCAACCTCAGCCAGAAGCTCGCCGAGAAGGTCGGCGCCGCTGGTTCCGGATCTGGCCGATGTAGGGGCTTGGGCCCTAAACCCTAAACCCTAAACCCTAAACCCTAAACCCTAAACCCTAAACCCTAAACCCTAAACCCTAAACCCTAAACCCTAAACCCTACAGGGGGGTTTACGAAAATAAGGGACCCCTAATATAAACCCCCAAATAGTAGGATTCCCTCATAAGAAGGAAACCAATAAGGATCCCTAATCGCGGAACCCCCCCCCCCCCCCTCTGCCTCCCACATCCCTGTTTTCCCTAGAAATCCTAATTAGACCCTTGTGAGTCCAAGTCCGAAACCCGACCTCTCCTAGGCTTACTTTCGGCTCTAGCCAAAACCCTAAAGCCATAAAAACAAAAAACAAACAAACACCCTGAAACCCCAAAGCCCTCATGACCTGCTTTGCCACTGCTGATCGGCAAGCAAGCCCAGCAGCGCTGGCGCCACCTTTTCGTGACAGGGGGGGTTGGGGGCTGAGGGCTTAGGGATCAAGGGGGTTTGCCTGAGGGTGGTTCCATATGGGCCCTGAAAAAGAGACGCCTTATAGACTCCCTATATAGCCCCACAAAAAGGGCCCTTGGGGCTTGGGGGCTGCGGACAACCTAGAGATCAAAGGCCACCTAAGAATGGCATGCCTTAGGAGTGCTTAGGGTCCTTATAGGGTTCTTTTTGGGATCTTTTTGGGTTCTATTTGGGTTTAGGGCCACCTGGGAATCAAACGAGTGCCGGGTCTAGACCCTAAACCCGCCCTAAACCCTAAACCCTAAACCCTAAACCCTAAACCCTAAACCCTAAACCCTAAAAACCCTAAACCCTAAAAACCCTAAACCCTAAACCCTAAACCCGCCCTAAACCCTAAACCCAAGACCCGAGACCTATCTAGACTTAGCAATCGCAGGCTGAGTCTAAGGTCTCAAGGTTGTGAGAGCTAGAGCCTCTTTCCCCCCCCCTAAAGTAAAGAAGACCCCCCGACCCCCCCCCCCCCCCCCCCCCCCGGTGAGATCTTTGCCCCTTCAGCTTTTTGGGCATATGCCTCGACTCCTCTCGGGTTCAAGATTTAGAGGTTTCGGGTTTAGGGCTTCGGGAATTCACAAAATAGGATGCACGTTAACAACCGTTGAGGGAGTATGCTTTTTTGTCGCTCACCAAGACCTCAAGGTATGTTCCTTAATTTAGGGTCTTGGCTCCTTCAACCTGAACCCTAAACCCTTTTTGCAACAGGCTTCGTACCTCGAACCCTAAACCCTAAACCCTAAACCCTAAACCCTAAACCCTAAACCCTACGGCATAACCCTAAACCCTAAACCCTAAACCCTGCCCACTGCGCGTAAGGCATGTTCCTTAGTTTAGGGATCTTGGCTGCTAACTCCTAAACCCTAAACCCTAAACCCTACACCCTAAACCCCAAAACCCTAACCCCCAAAACAAGCCCTAAGCCCTATAAGCCCTACCCAAGCCCTAAGCCCTACGCCCGAAGCCCCAAGCCCCAAGCCCGAAGCCTAAACCCTAAACCCTACACCCCTAGCCGTAAACCCTAAGCCCTGCTCTCTGCGCCACTGTTCATCTGGGGTTGGGGGCCGCGGAGACGCTCGGCCGCGGTCGCTCAAGGAGCCTGCGAGGCTCCGCTCGGCCTGGAAAATTGGCAAAGGTTTAGGGTTTAGGGTTTAGGGTTTAGGGTTTAGGGTTTAGGGTTTAGGGTTTAGGGTTTAGGGTTTAGGGTTTAGGGTTTAGGGTTTAGGGTTTAGGGTTTAGAGTTTCAGAATTTGGGGTTAGGGTTTCAGCTCAACATCACAACTCTCACTTTAATTTGGGCTGGGCTCATCATGGAGATGTTCTGGGAGGAGGGGGTGGTCGCAGCGCTTGCTTAGCAAGCCCTGAGCAAGCACTCTAGCACAGCTCTTGTCGAGAGAACTGTCGAGGTCCGAGTGCTTAGCGAGTGCTTAGCGAGTGCTTGCCAAGGCTTTTTGGAGCCACTCAGAAACCACCGCCCCCACCCTGCTAGACCCCCCTCCCATAACATCTCCATGAGTTCAAGCATCATGTAGGCTAACGCGCTGCAGGGCTACGCACTTGTATCAAGTCGGAGGACGTGCATCGGCTAAGCAAAGTAAGACCACCCGCGCAGGGTTACTTTCTGCCACTTGCTGACACTTGGCCTGGTGCACTGCAGGGCAACTCACTGATAAGGTCGGTTGGGCTCTAAATTCGGGCAGAGGCTCACTGCTTTTTGTCTTGTGGTTTGGGGCTTGGGGTTCGGGGTGAAAGGTTTGCAGTACTATACTTTCTGACCCTGTTGATTTTTGCTACGTCTCAGAGAAAAAAGAGACCAAACAGAACCTATATTCAGTTCAGGGGTGCAGGGGCACTTCGGGAACTTTTCCGCGTGGGTCCATGACGTGGGTCGGATGCTCAGAGCTTGCGTGAGGGCAGGGCAAGTTGAGGGTTGAGCTGCTGATGCAAGGGTGCGTCGGGAAGCTAAGCCGGGAAGGACTGCAAGGAAGAAGACTCGATGCGGTGGCGTTCTAGCACGGTTGTTTACGAATTGGATGCTGGGGGCTGACTTGTAGTGCTGGTATGCTCTCTGCTCCGGTATCTGGCGAAGGCCAACAACCGGCGCCCACTTTCAGGGTGGCCCTCAACATGCGGCATCTTGGAGCCTAGAATCTACAAACCTCCTGGAACCCTAAACCCGAAACCCTATACCCTAACATAGCAGAGAAAGAAAGGGCCCGCATGTTGTGGCCTGCCGTGCCGTTGCTGAAGTTGCGAGCAGGTACAAACCTCAGTCTCGAAGCTAGGTAGGGAGATGGGTGGTGCTCTAAAATCAGGTCTTTTGTGGGGGTTCTTCTTTTCAGGGTGCCGTACTGTAGAAGGGACCCCCAAAATGGCCTATTTTAGAGAACTACCCATATCTAAGCCGAGTCATTAGGGGGTTTCGGGCTTGTAGGGGTTTAGGAGACATAGGGCGGGATAATGGTCAAATTGAGTAGCTGAGTAGGGCTGAATCGACTTGAAGACAGAAGTGCCACGAGGGAAGGCAGTACATGCAATCCCAGGCATGCTAAACACCCGATACCCTAAACTGCCTAAACCTTCCTTGAGGACGGAATGAACCTCAAAAAGGTTTATGATCATAGTTGTGCAAGGGCAGATGATCCTAATTCGAGGGTTCACTTGGTCCCACGTTCTTGGTCCCCTGCATGAACCACATATTCACTGCTGAGCTGGCAAAGGGTCGGGAGTCGGGAGCCACAACAAGAGGTGATGATTCAGGTTTGTTCAGATTGGGGGGGGGGGGGGGGGGGTGGGCTTATACGATATTAGGGGGTACCTTATTGGGGCCCTTATGATAAGGGGATCCGACTGTGTGGGGTCTATGTTAGGGGCCCCCGACTTTCGTAAACCCCTGCAGACCATTTCTGGGCTCCCGGGCCCAGGTATCCGTGGCTTTGATCCCGAAGGCGGCTCGCTGCTGGCTGGCTGAGAGCCTTCACTGACCTCAGGGCAGCTGGGCGGGCCATGGCATCAAAGGACTTCGTAACCCTAAACCTTAAACCCTATAAACCCTAAACCCTAAACCCTGAACCCTAAACCCTAGGCCCTATAGAACCCTAAACCCTAAGCTATGAGATTGGTGAGGTAGGGATGTTGGGTGGGTTCGTTCGCCTCATGTTGTTGAAGATTTCCGGGTCTCTGGATACCAAGAAACGGAACGGACCAGCGCTATCTGGTAAAAAGTGAGACATATACTTGGCTGCAGTTAGTAGGGTAGCTATAAATTACACTTTTAGCTGCCTTATTCAGAAACCCAAAAATCCCAAAAAGGCTAAGGATCTAAAGTTACAGTAGAGTATAACAAAATATAGTAGTGGCAAAGGTGAGCGCCCGGAAGTCAATTCAAGAGACATGGAGAGTCGACGTGCCTGGGGTGCACAGGCCACAGACTCATTTCCAAGAGGCCTGAGGGCAGTTCCTATACTCCCCGTAGAATCTTAATAAAAACAATACTTTTTAAATATCCTCTTGGGTTTTATATACACACAAAAACACAAAATAATTCCGGAACATGATATGTTGAAAATCCTCTTGGGTTTCATATAAACAAAAAAATAATTCCTAAGGGGGATATAGGATCTGGGATGTGTTGTTGCTGGGAAGTGTCTAACGGCACGAAGGATCCCCCCTGAGAACACGCCCTCAAAGAATCCTGATGCAGATCCCTAATATAGGGTTTAGGGTTTAGGGTGTAGGGTTTAATTAGAAAAGGGTCTTGGGGTGTTTAGTATTGATAGCATAATTACGAAGGACCATAAGGGAATACGACAAGTACTTATTCCGACCCCTATGTTAGAGTAGCACTTCTATTCACCTCCACACTCCAAGCAGTGGAATGCTTTATTGTCAGACTTGGGGTACCTATCGGCTTCGGGTGCAGGCTTAGGGTTTGGGTGTATAGGGTATGAGACCCTGCAGACTTCGGTTTTCACGGCTTCTAGTGCGCAGAAAGGAAGGTTTTAGAATTGGGGGGGGGGTCTTTTCGAGGGTCAGCAACCCTTGGGAGCTGTAACCCAGCCAAATGGCGAAGCGAAGGGGATTCGCGGCCAGGGGTTTCGGATTCATCCAGTCCTGCGGACAGTACCGTGGCACTTGGTGCATGCTACAGGCACATGTCTGCCCCAAACCCTTTCTGAACTGACTCTTGCAACCCTGAGGCCTACTGACGGTGTCCCATTCTCGGTTTCGGGTTAGAGGGCCAACTGCTCATGCCATCATGTCTGCCAATTCCTGAAACTCCACATCCCAGCCGCGCCGGAACGCCCAAATCCTAAACCCCAAAACCCTAAACCCCCAACCTTAAACACCAAACCCTAAACCCCAAAACCCCAAAGCCCCAAGCCTTAAACCCTAAACCCCAAACCCCTGAACCCTAAACCAACCCTAAACCTGTCCTCCTCTTCATCCGCCGACTTGGGTGGGCGGGCCTCCCCCAGCTGCGCAGAGAAGAGGCCGCCTCGGATCGTCCCTTCATCTACTTTTTGCTTAAGAACCCCCCCTCCCCCCAGAAAAAATCCCGATACTACCCCTAAACCCTAACCCTAAACCCTAAACCCTAAACCCTAAACCCTAAACCCTAAACCCTAAACCCTAAACCCTAAACCCTAAACCCTAAACCCTAAACCCTAAACCCTAAACCCTAAACCCTAAAGCCTAACAAACCCCCTGCTGCTGAGGAAGGGGCTCCGCCCCTCCCTGGGGTCGACCCACAGCCTTGGGACCGAAGGTTTTAGGGTTTAGGGTTTAGGGTTTAGGGTTTTAGGGTTTAGGGTTTAGGGTTTAGGGTTTAGGGTTTTGGGTTTAGGGTTTAGGGTTTAGGGTTTAGGGTTTAGGGTTTAGGGGTTTAGGGTTTTAGGGTTTGGGGTTTGGGGTTTAGGGTTTGGGGTTTAGGGTTAGGGGTTTAGGGTTTAGGGGTTTAGGGTTTAGGGTTTGGGGTTTAGGGGTTTAGGGGTTTAGGGTTTAGGGTTTAGGGTTTAGGGTTTAGGGTTTAGGGGTTTAGGGTTTAGGGGTTTGGGGTTTAGGGTTTAGGGTTTGGGGTTTAGGGTTTAGGGGTTTAGGGTTTAGGGTTTAGGGGTTTAGGGTTTAGGGTTAGGGGTTTAGGGTTTAGGGGTTCAGGGTTTGGGGTTTGGGGTTTAGGGGTTCAGGGTTTTAGGGTTTAGGGTTTAGGGTTTGGGGTTTAGGGTTTAGGGGTTCAGGGTTTAGGGTTTAGGGGTTTTTGGGGTTTAGGGTTTAGGGGTTTAGGGTTTAGGCTTTACAAGGTTCAGGGTTTTTCAAAGTTTAGGGTCTGGGCTTTAGAAGGTTTAGGGTTTTAAAAGTTAAGGTCTTAAGTTTAGGGTTTAGGGTTTATAAGTGATAAGCATTTGGGATTTAGGTTGTAGGGGTTTAGGGTTTAGGGATTTGGGCTTTAGATGGCTTTAGCCTTATAAGGGGGTTCAGGGTTTGGGGCTCAAGGTGGGCCTGTGTTTGAGGGTTTAGGGTTCAGCGTGCGGCATTGAGGGTTCAGGGTCTAGGGTTTCGGCATCAGGGTCCAAAGAGCCCTTAAGGGAGGCGGGGGGTTCATGGGCTAGAGAACCTTTTTGGGAACCTTAGGGAGGCTTACAGAGTAGTGGGGAGTACTCGGCAACCTTGGGTTGCCTAGCCCTCCTACACCCTAAACCCTAAACCCTAAACCCTAAACCCTAAACCCTAAACCCTAAACCCTAAACCCTAAACCCTAAACCCCCTGGAGCCGCCTCTCCCTTCAAAAACCCTGTAAGAGGGTGTGGAGGAGACATGGTGTTAGGGGTCCGGGATGGACCCAAAGGCAAGCTCCTCCAGCTCCAGCACTCTTCACCCTTTGGGTTTAGGGTTTAGGGTTTAGGGTTTAGGGTTTAGGGTTTAGGGTTTAGGGCCGCGAAACAGAAGCTGCCCTGCCTCTCCCAGATCCCCCAACCGTCAGGAAATGAGCCTCCAGACTCCCAGTACCCGCACTTTACCAGCAAACTGCTTTTGTGTCCTTCAGGGCTCCTTCGGACCCAGAAGACCCTAAACTCTCAAACCCTCTAACCCTCAAACCTCCAACGTGACGGACAGCTTCTGGGCAGTCCCTGCGGGGTTGCCAGGCCCTTCTCCTCCTTGCCCAGGCCCTCGCCCTCCTTTGTCGCGCAAACAGGCATCGCGCATGCACGCTTCTTACTTGCAGTGGGGCTTGCGGCTTTGGCCCTTCAAGAGACTCTAACTCGCTAGTCTGTGGAGGTTCTTGAGTTTTCAGACGGTGGGATCTGACGATGACGAACAATCTTTTTTGACTTTTTTCTCCCAAGTCGGACATGCCACGCAAGGAAGTGGGCGTTGGCAAGTTGGGGCTGGCGTCAGGGAAGGGGCAACGAAGAGCGGGAAAGTGCAAGTTTCGCTCGTGCAGTGTGGGAAGGGACAGGGCCTCGGAATCAAGTCTGCACGGTCACAAGTCAAGGCAAAACTGCAGAGATCGAACCCCCCCCCCCCGCTCTCCCGAGTCAAGGAATACACCATCCTTATGATGACGTGAGGTACAGTCAAGTCAGTGGGTATTGGGCTCTCTTGAGACCTCACTCAAGAGCCTGGTGGCGAAACCCCAAACCCCAAACGCTAACCCTCAAACCCTAATACCCTAATGCCCTAATGCCCTAATGCCCTAATACCCTAATGCCCTAATACCCTAATACCCTAATACCCCCCTAATACCCTAATGCCCTCATACCCTAACCCGCTGCGCCTTCCACCCAAACTTCTGAAGCATCTTGAAGCCGAAGCCCTCCTGGATGGGCCGATACAAGACCTGGCAGCCCAGACCTAGGGTTTAGGGTTTAGGGTTTAGGGTTGAGGGTTTAGGGTTGAGGGTTGAGGGTTGAGGGTTGAGGGTTTAGGGTTTAGGGTTCAGGGGTTCCCAAACCCCTTTGAGGATCCAACAAGTAGATCCCCTGAAGGGTGAATAAGAATGACCCAAGAGTAGTAAAGGCTACTATTTGGGGGGCTGTACCTTTTTGGATCCTCCCAGAAATCTGGGTAAGGCATTGGGGCTGTCAAGGCTTCTCTAGACCCCAGTGGTGGTCTCAAGGGGCTTGTAAGGGAACCTGAACCCGAAGAAAGGGGAATAAGGGTCATAGTAAAGAGGCCTCGGCTGGGGCCTGTGGAGTCTGGCTCAATCAGACCTAGCACCTGCAGATGTCATACATTCCACCAGGTTCTGCTGCCATGATCCAGCGAAGCCCTCACCGCCCTAAACCCTAAACCCTAAACCCTAAACCCTAAACCCTAAACCCCAAACCACAAACCCTAAACCCTGAACCTGAGCCAGTGGTTGGCCTCTTTTGCCTCGAGCTTCATCCGCTTGATCTGCCCTGGTTCCGAAGGCATGGCAATCAAGATGAGGGTTTGAGCAGGCAGTTTGCAAAGAGGCAACTTTCGTGCAGGGGGGAGCTCTGCTTGATTGAGCGACAGCAACTGCAGAGCCAAGAAACTTCCATCTGCCAACTGCATGCATGGCCTATGAAAAGCTAAAAGCTAGCAGTGAAAGCAACCCTGGTAGAAAGAACCTTAGCCCTTTTGAACCTGAAAGCTGCTTCATGCCAGGACTCAGCACCCTAAGATCCTTAGCCCTACTATACATACATCGTGTGTGCATGAGGCGCGTGCCTTTCGTCACCACCTTGGTTGCGTTCGTGGACACGCAGAGACAGAAAGCCCAACCGCCACTAAGGCGGAATATTACGTTATGTTGTGCTGCTTCAAGGGTCATGGGGACTCCTTCGCAAGGTGCCACTGCTGAGAGCACGTTGAGCACATGGTTTGAATGTCGTGTCCGGGTCCGAACCTGAGGAGGTGCAGGGATCTTCTGGAGATATGATTCTACTCCATAGTGGGGGCACGGCAGTTCCACTGGGTTTAGGGTTTAGGGTTTAAGAAAACTTCAAGGCCGTGCCTGGAGAAGGAGGTTTCAAGGAACCCTGCAACCTTTAGTAGCTTGCAGTGAAGCATTTCAGCCGCCAAGGCGGAAGAGATTCAACAAACCGAATCTCTTTTCAGTGCATATCTACTGCCAGGCAGGAAGTGACTAACTTCTTGCCTCGCATACGATCCGAAACCCTCAGTACAATGAAGTCGCAGAGCTGTGTTTTCTTTTCAGCCATTAGTATAAGAGAGAAACTACATTGCTAGCTGCGGCAGACGCACACATGGGAGATTTTTGCGCAAGTTTGCGAGGCTACACAGGAGATGAAAGTATATCTCCTGAAGGAGCGGACGAGCCAACGAACACGGCTGTGAAATGTGCCCGGTCGAACTCATTGTGACTCCTGTGAAGTTACAACAATTCCATTCGATGATTTGCCGGTGCTCAGGGGCGAACCTGAATCTATGAAATCTTGTTCATCTGGCTGAAAACTGACTGAGGTAGACTTCGCAACGAAATCCACAAACAATCTCAAAGTCCTCTGGGAGTAAGCGTGGCAGGTGAGGGTGGGCTTCCGTGCGGCAGTCGATACCATCCGAGCCGGCCACCGTACTTTCTGCGGCCTCTTCCCCAGCCTGTCGGGCGGGCTGCAAGAGTAGTGCTGACAAGCCTCGGTTATGGGTCCCTACGGGAGGGGCGTTCATGGGGGGGTAGGTACCTAGGGAACCTGGGAGAAGTTTAGGGAGCCCAAGGGAGTAGTCGGGAGCATTGGCGAACCTTGGGTTGCATGTCCCCCCCTTGAACCCCCGTCCCCTTTAGAACCTTCTAACTCAGGGTTCATCGGTGCCCTTTCTGCTCCCAGTTTAGGGGCGATAGGGTTTAGAGCGAGCTTCTTTCTGTCACAAGCATCCCAAAAAAAGTTCAAGTGCGGACTAGTGCCTCTAATGCTTCACTCAAGCTATCGAGGTTTAGGTTGAGGGTATGGTTCAGCGCTGGGGCTGAACCCAAGGATGTGGGGTAATTTGACAGGAAATTGGTGGTGTGGGGGGCGGGGGGTGTAATATAGGGGTTGGAAGAATAGCTAGTAGAATTCTCCTATGGTCCCTTTATCGTTATACAAACAGGGTCGTTGCCTCGAGGTTGGGGTTGCGGGTGTCTGACATCCTGGTAGTTCGGCCCCTGCTGGCGAATCACAAAGTCTGCCAGAAATAAAAAACACTTTGTAACGTAGGCGAAACAACAGGACACACGATCAGCGCAACCCCCACGACGTATAGGAAGAGCAACAAATCGGATGGAGCAACGTTACGTTTCATGCCGTGCTGCGAGCTATGGTGCACCTGGACCTTGGGTGGCTTGGGTGGACATCCTAGTCAAACTAAATTTGTGTCGCCGGCTTAGGGTGTAGGGTTTAGGGTTTAGGGTTTAGGGTTTGGGGACCTTAACATCCAACTGCGCATGCCGAAGCTGCGGGCAATTTGAACTTGATCCACTGTCGAAGTGCTTCAAGCAGTCTCCGAGGCAGATCCGATGAGAAAAGACTTTAAGCGATGTGAAAAACTCCTTGGACAATCCTTCTAGAGATGAGGTTGTCAGGCTGGATTTGCTGCTGCATTTGGAGCTACGTGCAAGGCCGACATGAGTGCAACAGAACATGCATCGTTCTGCACTCGATCGGGAAAAGATACTCAATTTAAGCAGTCCTTCGATGCTGGCAGTTATGGCACTGGCAGGCAGTCTTGTGCCGGTAGTAGAACAGGTAGCGGACCAGTGAAAGCTGCCGGTCAAAGATGACAAACTCCATATGATCAACTATGCCCCCATTTTTCTTGGTCACAGCCGCAATTGAATCAAAAGGATCACCATTGGAACGCTCAGGCGCGCGGATTGTCTGGCTAAGGCCCTGTGTTTTCGCAAGCCATGTCTCCCCGAGCATGACTCTCACAGCAAAAATGCAACGCTCGCCTTCTGCGTGGCGGCAATCTGTGTAATTGGCATTGCCATGACACTCGTGGCACGTTGTGTAGAGATCAGACTTGGATGCGTTCTGTGCGAAGTAGGCACCTCTCCCGAAAAGTGAGCCAGTAGTTTCGCCTCCACGCTGTGGATCAATGCCGCGTCGCGCGATATCGTCAACCCGATGCCGGGGACAGCCATGAAATAGTAGATACTCGTTCAAATCCCTGCAACCATCCTCTACGGTGCACTTGAAGGCGGTGACTCCCGGAATCGCACAGCATGAGTGCGAGTTGCGATGCAGAACTTCGCCGCCACGCGCGGTCTCATACGCACGCTGCTTGTTGCAGTTCACAACTTCTACGATGTCCGTGACTTCTACATCAGGTCGCGGACACCACTGGCCCGACTGAGAGCTCCTTCGATGCGACGCCATTGATTGCAAGAAGTAGTCACGGAGCGCAGTGAACTTTGGATCATACCGCTTAAGTGCACGTTGCATGTAGTCCGTGCACAGCGTCGACCAATCGGGAAGCTGCGACAGGATCTGCCGACTCAGCTGTTGCTGAAGGCCTCTCTTCTCAGCATCGCACCTTACACGGGCGCGAGATGCACAAGCAACATGTGAGCCGAACGCAGTGCCGGTGGGAGAAAAACTATTGTGCTGTCCAAGTCACATAACTCTCTCCACCTGCAAGCCTAGATCCCGCTCCCACCGTTCCTTGTCCAACTGCCGTGTCAAGTCAGCGTGCGAGGTCTGCAGTGTGTCGTTCGACACTTTCAGCGCGTCGTTCTCAGTCTTCAGTCTTTTGCGGCTTTGGATGTTGAATTCTAGCAGATCCAGCATCTCTTGGGATGCAGCCGACAGGGCGGGCAAGTCCACTGCTTCTCGTCTCCGTATCCGTCGAACAGTGCCCGTATTCCAATTCCTCTGAGTGAGCTGGCGGAGATTCACCTCGTACCGATGTTGCCTGAAACCTTACTTCTCTACGGCAGGACAAGCAAACGTGAAAAAGTGATATCTGTGCAAGATAATAGGTGTGGAGCACAAGACGTTCACGACAGCGGAGGCAGGGTAACCTCCTTCATCACTCCCTGTCTTAACTTGCCTTAGACAGAAATTTCGAAGAAGTGGAAAGCCAAGAGGCTGATGAAACATTTGCTCTTGAAACAGCTGTAGGCATGTTCAAGATCTTGGCTTGCCAAAAGCGTGTAGGGTAGCCAGCGGTCCTCCTTGGGCTGTATCCACATTGCTCTTATTCGAGTAAATGCTAGGCCATGCGCAACTTGTCAAAGCAAGCTTGCAGTTCAGGGGACGGGGAGGTCATTCTAGGTTGTCGAAGCTGTAGGGTTTTATGAGGGTGGGGGCTGCTAAGCCCCTGTGATGAATCCAAGCTCTTCAGCTTGGAGTTTCAATCCCTGAACAAAGCAGGCAGCCTCAGAACCATTCAACATAACCGCCCATGTCAACTGAGCATCGGCTTCATTCTCTAGAAACTCCCATTGTATCACTGGGATCTCGCGCAGAATCTCGCTTAACACCTCGCTCGGCCGCTTATCTGGATACTGATGCGCCATGGCTCAGAAGCTTCAAGGAAAATTGAAGAGTTGGTGTTGAAACTCGCCAAGCCCGTCCGGCGCTTCGATCTTGAGTCCTTACCCCCATAACTCTTAAATGGGGTCACTGAACCTATGCTATATCTAGCCAGATTGTCGCTCTGGCGAGAAATAAGGCGATCATCCAAGCTCCCATTCTGCCAGCCTCAACAGCTGAGGCCGCATTGGAAGTAGATGCACCCGAAAAGCACCATCCCACCAACTCCTACTTGTAATCCTGGCTGTCTTAGGGCTACTTAGCACCAGTGACGAGCAGCAGTCGCAGCTATGAGGCTCAGCGGAACAGCCATGAAGCTTACTGCATTGCAGAAAAGAAAGTACCATACCCATCGATCAGACTTGGGCTGTGCATACTCCTCTGATGCATACTTCTAAAGAAGCGTTTGTGAGAACAAACATTAGTCTTGAGCTTGTGCCAGACAATCCATTGCGCATACTCTGCAAGAGCAGACTCTGCCAATGAAGCTCATGCAACAGAATCACATCAGTTGGGATGGGATGTTCCCCCTATTAGTAGGGATGTTCAGAGGGGGGTTCTTTTGTCTCTAGTAAGGAAGGACTGTTAGTATCAGGGGGAACATCCCAACACATCAGCCTAAAGCTCTCCAAATTTTTACTCATAGAGCTCGATGTTTCGTCTCGGGAACAAGCACGACTTGGATCAAGTGCGTGGAAGACGCAGCGCAAGTGGGCGCTCTGGGAATCAGCCCACCTTACCTTCACATTCTTCCCTGGCCTTCCGCATTCGTTGAAGCCTGCACCCACCATCAACCGGACACATTAGAGATATTTGGCGGCTAGGCGTGCCCCGGAACCATAATAACTTCCCTAATTGGCCCAAACCCCAAAAAACCTGAACACACACTTGCCCCCCCCCCTCCAAAAAAAACTCAAAAAAACAACGAGCCGAACCCTGAACCCTGAACCCTGAACCCTGAACCCTGAACCCTGAACCCTAAACCCTAAACCCTAAACCCTAAACCCACGGAGCGGCCTGAAGCTTGCCTCCACCAGCAGAGCCGAGGGCCGAGGTCGCCGCTGTCGCAGCTTTGCTCCTCTGAGGTTTTGGGTTAGGGTTTAGGGTTTAGGGTTTAGGGTTTAGGGTTTAGGGTTTAGGGTTTAGGGTTTAGGGTTTAGGGTTTAGGGTTTAGGGTTTAGGATTTAGGGTTTAGCGTTTAGGGTTGAGGGTTTAGGGTTGATAGTTGATAGGGTTTAGGGTTTATAGGGTTTAGAGCTCTAATTGTTTTCTTGGCTGTGCTTTAAACTAAACCCTTTGAATATTATTTATGAACAGGTTCCCTTATAAGGAAAGAAGGGAAAGTAAAGCATATCCCCAAGAACAACCCAGTTTAGGGTTTAGGGCTGAGGAGCTGGCTGAAAACTCACGGGCTTAGGGTTTAGGGCTCTCACTCCGAAAAATCCTGCCCACGGGTAATTAAAGTGTATCCCAAGGACAAGGCCCATGGAACAAAACAACTCCCTAAACTTAGTAGAGGTCTTATTGATCGGAAGAGCATGCCTGTATTGAGGGGTGGTGGAGTCTCTGGGGGCTAGGGCGAAGAGTCTCGTGTTGCTCCCGCATAGGCTGTTTCGTTTGAGGATGTACCCGAAGTCTTTCAAGCACTCGGTTTCCCCAACCCAAATCATCAAACGGTCCTGAGTGCTGCATTCTCTCGTCGCAGCTGCTCCAGTTCCTGCGGAGATGAAGCAGCCAAGCTGTGAAACTGTGAAACGAGGTGTAAGTTAAATCCTGAAGCTAAATTCCTCAACGTCTATTCCGGAATCATATCGCGAACGTGCGCCTTAGGAGTTAAGAAGAAAAGCCTTTACAGGGTTGATGTAGATGGGTCTTCAAGTTCTCACTTGCGACTTGTGAGGCAGCAACGCGCGTCTCAAGGACTGAAGACCCTAGTGGTGTTTCATGTGGGTGCTCATTCTATTACAGATAATTTCACTGTCTGGGAAGATAGTACGGGCTAGCAAGGCTATGTACAGGAACTACATGAGAGCCTGGAGCTAGCCTCTCTTCATGACAAGCTGCCACGGCATACTGAGCTGCACAAGCAGGCTGTGGAGCTTACAGAGAATTGCTGCTGGAGGCAGCGGTACAGTGCACATGAGAGTTGGCTTGCAAGGAAGATATGCATAAACAAACTCTAGCTAGTCTAGCACACTTGTGGCACTCACAGCCAGTAAGCCCTCAATGGCCGCCCTACACACAAAACCCTCCCGAATGAGAATCACAGGCTTCACTACTTCAGGTTCCTGTTGCATCTTGCTCATCGGCTCCGTGTCCTCCTTCGAGTCGACCTGGGTAATGCAGTTGCGGGTTTTGTATTGCCGTGCGTTCATGGTGTCCTTTTTGGCGTCAAAAAACGTCGAAAGAACTTTGAAAGGTGCAGAAGGTCATGGCTTCGAATGTGGCTAGCGGGTAAGGAGACTTCAGGCAACTACCACCAGCAAAACCTGCACAGCGCAAGGTGTGAACAGGATTCCTCAGCATGCCAACGTAAGCATGTCTTTACCGGAAGTTTAGCCCAGCCCAACAACCCAAAAATCTGAACCCTGTTAACGCGACATCCAGGAAGCCTGTCTTTATTCTAGGTGCTGCATGGACAACCCCCACCAGCAACCCCCCCCCCCCCCTCTGCCCTCAGCTTCACGCAGATGCAGGCTCGGTGTCCTGCTCTGTGGCTCGGGGTGTCGAGCTTAGTGTGCAGGGAGGCAGGGAATGTTAATCTATTCAAGGGCTTGGAAAGAGCCGTCAAGCTTGCAAGAGTATTTTCCCGGTTGCGGGGGAGCTTCTGCACGCATGGGCTACTGCCCGGGTTGGGATTCCCCACTCCTTGACCGGTGACGCTACGAGGCCTGGCCTTGTGGTCTATGGCAGTCAAGGGTTGAGGTTTTTGGAGTTTACAGGGCTTTTTGGGCTTCCGAATCAGAGCTTCGTGGCCAACTCAGCAATTAAACCCTAAACCCTAAAACCTGGCGATTAAGGCCCTTCGAGAGCAGCGGAACAGGGTCCTGGCCCTCCAGCTTTTGGCGCTTCGCAGGTCGCTCCTCCTCAGCCTGCGTGTCCGACTCCGGTTTCGGTTTACAAGGCTTCCGGGTCGCAATGTGACATGCGGTCCTAAGCCCTTGAGAAGCCGTTTGAACCCAGGACTGGTGAGGTCTTTTGAGGGCAACCCCAACCCCTGAACCCTAAACCCTTCGATCCACCTTGGCAAAATCCTCACACGCACTTATACCCTCATGCTCTTCATACCCCCCACCTAAGAGCCAGCAGGTCAGTAGGTAAACCCTACAAACCCAGCAGATGAGCCTGAGAGGCCGGGACAAAGCGGGGCGGCACCACGCCACTGGCCGCCCTCAGACTCATGGCCGCTGGCTTGAGGGAGGCGGCTTAGGGCTTGGGATGTAGGGTTTAGGGTTTAGGGTTTAGGGTTTAGGGCGACCCAAACTTCTTAATCTGGGGAGTTTAGGTTTAGGGTGGTAAAGTATGCCGGCGGAGGGGGCGCTTTGAATCAGGGTGCCTGCTGGGTAACTTCCGGAACAGAACCCGTAGTTTAGAACAACTCGAGAACGAAGGCTCTTGCTTGGAACTCTGCAACTCTAAACCCTAAACCCTATAAACCCTATAAAACCCTATAAACCCTATAAAACCCTATAAACCCTAAACCCTTTAAACCCTAAACCCTAAACCCTAAACCCCAACCACTTCCAGGGACGGCGCGGCTTCGCCACGTTGGGCAGCGGATGGATGCCACCGGGCTTGGCCACTGCGGGTGCCGCCGCCGCTGCTGGCGGTGTCGCCTGCGACTGGTGGTTCTTTAGGGAGCTTTAAGGTTTAGGGTTTAGGGTCACCCTAAACCCTAAACCCTAAACCCCAAACCCTAAACCCTAAACCCTAAACCCGGTGTTTATGAGGCTGAGGCTTCCACCCTACACCCCGTGTTCAGGGAGGTTTCAGGCTCAGGGAAAGCCGCAGAAGCTGGCGGCCAAGTTCTGGCAGCAGGGCTTCTGGGGGTTGAGACTTTCCTCAGCACCCCTTTTCACTCCGCTAGCATTTTTGCATTCTAGGCTCCTTCTGACATATAGCCCGGGACCCCTTCAACTGCCCCAACCCTGAAACCAAAGGAACCCTAATCCCCAAACCCTAAACCTTGAACCTTCTAGTCAGAACCGCTCCTCCGGCAGCTCCGGTGCGGGCGACTGCTGCCCGGGCACCAGAGGCTTCGCTCCGGGCTGTTGGGGTGTGGCCTGTGGCCCAATGTGGCCCATGCGACTGTTTAGGGTTTAGGGTTTACGGTTTAGGGTTGAGGACTGCGGGCTGGGGCTGATGGGGATATAGCTTTAGGGCGTGAAAGGTAGGGTGGCAAGCTTGTTGAGTGGGGCGAGGCACATCCGATAGGATCCCTTGGCAAAAGCGAAGGAGGTTTGGGAATTCCCTTCTCTCAGGCCAAGCGGCGGCATCCTGTGTCTCAGCTGCCTAAGTCAAGTCAAGAAAGCACTTGGGCGGAGTCTCAACTCTCGATGGCAAGACTTGTGCGGCACAGCAGAGAATTCGATGTTATCCGACTGAGTTCTACTGTGTTAAACTCAAACAACGACGACTCTGGCATGTAAGGCCACCGCTGGCTTGATCGGGAAGCGAGCAGCCACCACCATTCCCTGCAAGCCAGAGCAATATGTAGCAGCAACAACAGCAGTGCAGCCATGCATAGTGCTGCATGCTTAATGACGATGCAACAAAACGTGTGAAAGGGCCGCTCACAGCATGCATCGTGGCTCTCGCCTTGGCCTTTGCAGGCGTTGCAGCTGGCGCTGCAGGAACTGCTTGTGCTGCTGGTGCCGAAGCTTCTGGTGCTGACGCGTCCGCAGGAACCGCTTGCACCGAGGCCGGGACGAAGGTCGGAGCCTTGGCCTCCGCTGCCTTGGCCTCGGCCTCCTTGGCCTCGCGCCGGGCCTTGGCGGCCTTGGCAGCCTCGAGGAACTCGGCCACCTCGGCCTGGCGCGCACGCTCTGCCGCCTGCGCCGCCTCGTCCTTGGCCGCCTGGCGTGCGGCCTCCGCCTGCGTCTGCTGCGCTGCAGCCGCGGCCTCCGCAGCAGCCCGCCGTGCTGCGGCTTCGGCGTCGGCCGCCCGAGACGCTTGGGCCGCCTGCTCTGCCACTCTGGCTTTGGCCTCCCGGCGAACTTTTGCAAAAAGCAACTCCAGAAACCCTAAACCCTAAACCCTAAACCCTAAACCCCGGCCTCGGACTTTCTCCTCTCCAACTCCTGTCGAGACAAAACTTTATGAAATGCTCGCTTATAGGCAACCTGCCGCAGCACATGCGCCAGCTCCTCTTGCTCGAGCACGCCCGCGAAGTCTCGTGCCAGGAACCTGACTCCCAATCACCACTTCATCCCTGGAAGTGCTTCATGTGGGTCACTGCGGATGGACAAAGTGTAGGGTTTAGGGTTTAGGGTTTAGGGTTTAGGGTTTAGGGTTTAGGGTTTAGGGTTTAGGGTTTAGGGTTTAGGGTTTAGGGTTTAGGGGCCCATGAGATATACAGTGATATGCAGAATGTTGCTAGGGTAGCCAATCTACAGTAAGGAAAGCAAGGAACTTGCCGCATCTGGTGTGACGCTCCTAGTCAGCTGAGACCAGCTTGGACAGCTCTGAAGGAGTTCTCAAACTTGCTGGACATGCGAATCTGGCCGCCACGTGACCCAAATTGTGGCACAGGATCGTAGAACCAAGCATGAAGCCCTAGACATCGGAGCCTATGCGCCCCCACACTTCATCAAACATCTCAAGCCCTCGACTTGATCAAGCCCTCGACTTGATCCCCGATCCCCTTCGAAAGTAACTGCAGGTAGGGGCACTTGTTGAAGTCCTTCTCGCTCTCCAGATGCCGCAGGAGGCGCAAGACCTGCGCCCAGAAGCGGCAACTGTCGCACCCCTGCAGCTTAGAAGAAAGCCACGCGGCTTCAGCTTTCTCTTAATGATGGCGCGGCAGGGCACATCGGAATCTAATCGTGTAACGTTTTCACTGCAACATAGGGGCCTTAATAATTTTATAACAGGGTTTTTGGCAGTTATTATTGTAATATAATTACAAAGAGAACAGAAGGGAAGCCTATTGGTAATTATTCCGACCCCTCTATTAAACCATTTTTCCTCTTAAAACATCTTCAAGCCTTCCGAGGCTTAAACCTACTGTTCTGTAGGCTGCCCAAGGATTCCTCTAGTCATACGAGGGTTTAGGGTTTAGGGTTTAGGGTTTAGGGTTGGTTTGCATCATAACAAAAACCACAAACATAGGCTTTGGCTTCTTAAGGCATGGCTTTCACTTCCTCCCCCACAAGGTCACCACAAGGTCCCTGACAAGGTCCCTGAAAAGGTCCCCCAAACAAGGTCCACCCCGTTTAGGGCTTAGGGTTTAGGGTTTAGGGTTTAGGCTTACGAGTTCTGAGGAAGAGAGGTCTTTAGTGTTTAGGGCCCTCGAATCATCATAGAGATCCTGTGTTTATGAGCTAAGGTGTATCCCTTAGTTAAGTGGTATGTCGCTGGGGGGAATGGAGAGCCCCCTCCCCCCCCCCCAACCTTGGCCGGGCGCGTCTCGCAAGCTCGGAAGACCATCTCAAACCTCCAGTCAGCGCGAGAAGTAGGGCTTTGCCGGAGATTTGGGGGTGTACAAGCAGCCCCCTCACTCTACTAACTGTAGTTAAGGGGCTTATGACCTAATTTAGGATCCTTCTAGCACAATTTAGGGCCCTGATAACTCTACTTATAACTAGGGCTCCCTCAATCTTATTCTTCCCTATAACCCCCCCCCATATAGCCCCTATACATACCTCCTACAGTACCCCTTAGGTCCAGTATAAGGGCCCCTCCTTTAGGGTTTAGGGTTTAGGGTTTAGGGTTGATTACACTGTTTCAGGCCTTGTTGCCCCTGGACGGCGGAATTGGAAGCACAAAGCCACATCTGCACACGAGTGTAGCCCTCAAAAAATCCCAGACCCCTTAGGGTTTAGGGTTTGGGGTTTGGGGTTTAGGGTTTAGGGTTTAGGGCTAGGGTTTAGGGTTTAGGGCCCAAATAGTACCCTTTTCTACTCCTGGGCCATTCTTAGGAACCCTTAAGGGGGATCTACTTTTTGGATCCTCCCAGAAGTCTGGGAGACCGTTGGAAGTGCTTTCGTGCGTTGAGGGAACTGGGATGGTTTCTTGGCTGCTCTTTAACCCCCCAATAAACGTTTAACTTTTGGCTCCCTTAATATGAAATTAAAGCAACCAAAAGTTTAAGTTTTGGCTCCCTTAATATGAAATTAAAGCAACCAAAACTCATAAAGTGATAAAGTTGTAGAATAGTCCCACCTAGGTTTGTCAACTATGAGTCCCCCCCCTCCACTGCTTGAATGAAAGTGGAGGCCCCTCATGCCACGGCAACTCCTAAAGTAGACTAAACCCTAAAATCTAAACCCTAAACCCTAAACCCTAAACCCTAAACCCTAAACCCCAAACCCTAAACCCGAGCAGGCCCTGAGCCATACATTCCCGAACCCTAAACCCTAAACCCTAAACCCCAAAAACCTTAAACCCTAAACCCTAAACCCTAAACCCCAAACCCCAAACCCTAAACCCGAGCAGGCCCTGAGCCATACATTCCCGAACCCTGAACCCTAAACCCTAAACCCTAAACCCTAAACCCACCATCTTCTGGCCTCGACTCGAAGAGCTCCTCAACCTAACCGAGCTTCTGAAACTCTGGGGTTTAGGGTTTAGGGTTTAGGGTTTAGGGTTTAGGGTTTAGGGTTTAGGGTTTAGGGTTTAGGGACAGCTAGGGCTTCATAGGGCTTGTGAGGCGCCGTGTTAGGGTTCAGGGCTTCGTGGGGACTATAGCTCTCTCTCTCTCTCTCCTTCTCTCTCTCTCTCTCTCTTTCTCTATCTCTTTCTCTATCTCCCTCCCTCATCCGTAGCCCAAACTTGAGAGCTTCATAAGGGCCCTGGGGTTCTGCAACCTCTGCCCTAGAAGCCCTAAACCCTGAGCCCTACGCTGTTATCATGGGATCCCCGTTACCCCCGTCTATACTACTCCCCCTAGGCGGGGTCCTTGCAAGTCCTCAAACCTAAATTTTCCTAAAACTTGAACCCTGCTGCTTGTGGGGCGTATTTTCCCCATACAGTAAACTCCGTAAAGTTGGAACATGGTCTGTCTAAGGCCGATTGGTGATGGGATTCCCTTTAGTAACCTTCCTGGGGTATGAGGATAATCATGTTCCAACTTTGGGGAGTTTACTGTATTTAGTAAACATTCTTCACCCCATAAGCCTAGAAACATCTATAAGCCCTAAACCCCTCAATCGATCTTTCTGCCCTTGGAATGCCGAACTTCAAGTCTTCAAGCGTGGCTCAGGCCCTATCTAAAAGCAATCTGCAACTGGCGGTAGCCCCTGGGGGCCTGCTGTCACGCACCCGCTCGAGGCTGGCTTTGAGATCTAACAACCGCAACTTGTATTGGTGTAGGGTTTCAGGGTTTAGGGCTTAGGGTTTTTGATATATATATATATATATATATATAACAGACACCCTGCCTCCATCAGCGGGTGCCCTAGGCACAAAGCAAAGCCGGATGTTAGAAATTCATGCGGTGGTTGTGCGTAATATAGAGGTCGGAATATTTGCTACGCATTCTGTCATGGTCCCTATCTAATCGCACTATAAATAACCGCCCAAAAACCCTATTCTAATTATTAAGGTTCCTACACTACGTCTAACTCATACGGCATGGACCGTCCTGACCTCACCGACTCCATGAGAGAGGGGGCATTGTGCGAGCGTCTGTCGCAGCTGCGCAGAGCTTCTTGGAGGTTCGTTGTTTCTTAATAACCAAGTGAATTTGTATTTATAACCCACTTATAAGCCCCTAAAACTAATGACTGTACATATATATATATATAACCCACTGATAAGCCCCTAAAGGTTAATGTGCTTAGAATTGGGTTTATAAGTAAGTACCATGAACCTCCTGCTTCGAGATTTGGGTGAAACGTTCTTCGCGATCTAAACTGCCAATTGCCTAAGAATCCTCCAAAAAAACAACAGTGAAAGGATTCTTCCTTGTAAGGATACTATGGGGGTTATTATCATTTAATTTTGGGGGTTCTTCAGCAAATAGAAGTGATGAGTTTGAAGGATGCCAGCTGGCCAATTTCGAAACTATGGGTCCAACGAGCTTTCTCCGATGCACCCTGGGCAAAAAGGGTCAACCTTTAAATTATGGCAGGGATTTTTTTCTATATATACCACAAAAGGTGAAAGGGGCCTAGGCCAGAAAATCCCCAAATCCAGGACTCGTCGGACCAGCTAATTACTACCACTATCATGCGCGAACGTCCTTGTGCAACGGGCATGCCAACAAGCGGAAGAAATCCAAGTGCATACGCTGTCCTAGGGTCACCGAGGGTCCATGCCCAATGCCAACGCGCGCAAGGACAAAATTGAAACTGCCACACGAGGCTCTGGAAGGATAGGCAGGACCCTAATCCCTAAACCCTAAACCCTAAACCCTAGGAAGCTACTTCCACTCACATGGAGCACCACCGGCTACGAGGCTTCTCAACAATAACCCCATTTGCACTCTTTGGATCAGCGCTTTGTGAAGGTGCCCACACCGACGAGCGGCTTTCCAGTTCTGCAAGTGGGATTTTGTGTGCTCGTACTTTGCCTGGGGCGTCTCGGGCACGCGCTGGCTACTCGAGGTGACTGATCTCGGCCACGTTGCCGCGGTTGTCCCGCAAGTTCCTGTCAGCACCCGCCTCCAGCAGCAAATGCACGATCTCTCCTTGGCCGTTGCCGGCAGCGTGCATTAGAGCGGTCTTGCCTTCGGCGTCCTTCAGGTTCATCTTGACACCAGCTTCCAGCAGCAAACGGACCATCTCAATGTGGCCCCGGGCAGAGGCGTGCATGAGAGCTGTCTTCTCGCTGGTAACACCGTCCTGCCAGTTCTTGTTGGCTCCTCCATCAAGCAGAGCACGGGCTACTTCAACATGGCCTTGCTTGGCGGCGTACATCACGAACTCTTCTGTAGCTCGGTGCTCCAGGTCTGGCCTACCCAATGTGGGGTGCACCACTAGCTGCCACTCACTCGTTTTCAGAGGCATGCCAGGAAGTTCCTCGAAGCCGCTCTCAGACTCAAAAAGCCGTTGAAAGCACATTGGGTAGTGATACTTTGCACGCAAGTGGCGCTTCACCGCCACCACATCCCAGAAATTCTTCTTGGGCTCAGCGGCAAGCTCTTCCCCGGAAATACGGCTCCACACGCGCAGCATGGCGCCGGCGGCTACAGATGTAGCCAATTTCTAGCCTCACCTTGTCTAGGCTCCGGCCAGGAGAAGTCACAGAACTTTGAATTGTGGGTTGACTTCCATAGGAGGAGCCCAAAGCCCTTAGTTCAACAACTGACCTGACGTTTCACAAGAGGTCTGCAATTACGAATGCTATTCCCTTGGGTCCCTAGATACGTATACTGCAATAATCCCGCAAGACCCTGTTGCCAATTAATTTGGCTTAATTATCCCTAGTGAGCCTGTTTGCGGGGGGGGGACCTCGGGGGGGGGGGGGTAGTTTTGAGGGGGGTAGTGCCCCTAAACCCTAAACCCTTTTTTGAACCCAGGCTCTGCACTATCAGCTGGGAAACCCTAAACTCTCCCCCCCCCTGTAGACAGGGGGTAGCAGGGAACCCATGATGCAAGATGAGGGTGCCCCCTAGACCGGAAAGAACACCGACCTCTGCGACATAGTCGTCAGGATCGCCAGCCACTAGCAGGTCCGAGCCTCGGGGGGCTTAGGGTTTAGGGCTTAGGGCTTCGGGTTTAGGGTTTAGGGCTTAGGGTTTAGGGTTTAGGGCTTAGGGTTTAGGGCTTAGGGTTTAGGGTTTAGGGCTTAGGGCTTTGGGGCTTAGGGTTCATTTTTAGGGGGGCTTGGGGGTTTGGAGGCAAGGTCGGAGCAGGCCGCACCGGCTTCCCCCAACTTCAGCAGCTTTGCCTGCGGCCCCGCTACTTGTTGCTGCTTTTGAAAAGGGTTAAGACTGATAAGATACAAAAGGGAGACCGGTGACAGTTCAGGGTTTATGTTTAGGTATTTTGCCACCTGCCTCGCAGGCCCTCAACCACTCTTAGGGTTTAGGGTTTAGGGTTTAGGGTTTAGGGTTTAGGGTTTTACCTGCAGCTTGCAGGCAGGACTCAACGATCAGTGCTGCGGGCTGGTGGTGATTGTGAGCAGCAATCGGAAAACACACCTCTTCTGCGATCCTGCGCTGCTGTTCGGGAACTTACAAGGAAAACATCTAATGGTCGAAGTATCCATACGATATCTTACACCCTAAGCCCATTAGGTTAGCTCTCTAAACTATGGTCCCTTCTGGGGTACCCTAAATAGGTAGAACAAAAGCAGCCCCAAAAGGGACCACAATTCAGAGAAATCACCATGAAGTTACCCTAAACCCTAAACCCCTAAACCCTAAACCCTAAACCCCTTCAGTTCCTTAGCAGCAACCCGGGATCTGGCCCTGCCAGCCCCAAGCAAAGGCCCCCGGCGCGACTTGTCGTCAGGGTCGGCGTCGCCCCAGATGGCGAAGGCTTCCATGCGCGAGGCCTGCCGATGCTGGGGTTTAGGGTTTAGGGTTTAGGGTTTAGGGTTGGTTTAGGGTTTAGGGTTTAGGGTACTTATTAAGCCACTTATCACTGTATTTATAGCCCACTTATCAGCCCTAAATTACCCTAATATGGTTAGAATTGGGTTCTAAGTGCAGTTAGATTCTAGGGTTGAGGCTTTCGACTCTCACACTCGCGCACGGCAGGCAAGGCTCCTCACCATGTTCATCGCCTTTTCCAGGCAGTGAGTAGGTTCTAGGGCATAATGGCCCATCCTAGCATTTTGGGGTGTACGGTTTAGGGCTTGATGGTTTGTTTGGGGTTTAGGGTTTAGGCTTTAGGTAGGTTGGGTGTACGCACGTAACACATGTGTTCGTGAGAACTTGGGCACGTTCAGGGCTTTGCCCGACGTCTCCTTCTCACCGCTGTGGAGGGACAACTCTCGGCCAATTGCCTCGCACCTGGGCGCTACTGGGCGGGTGGAGGGCAGCCACAGAATAACCCTAAACCCTAAACCCTAAACCCTAAACCCTAAACCCTAAACCCTAAACCCTTTTCCAAGAGACTTCGTCCCGCCTCGAAACCCTAGACCTTAAACCGCCTCGAAACCCTAAACCCTAAACCCTAAACCCTAAACCCTAAACCCTAAACCCGAATCCTTAAACCTAGGAGGTCTCTGCTTGGCCTCTCTGGACAGCGCTCCCTCACAACTCTCGGCGCAGGTCGGTTCTTCTGAGAAGTACTTGCTATACAAGGAGGGGCCCCCTAGTTATAAGTAGAGTTATGAGGACCCTAAATTGGGTTATAAGGATCCTAAATTAGGCTATAAGTCCCTTAACTACAGTCAGTAAAGTAAGGGGTCACCTCCTTGTAGCAGCACCCAGGAATACAGCGATACGGCCGAGGGTAGCACTTGCGCAGCGACACCTGATGCAAGTTTAGGGTTTAGGGTTTAGGGTTTAGGGTTTAGGGTTTAGGGTTTAGGGTTTAGGGTTTAGGGTTTAGGGTTTAGGGTTTAACCCTAAGCCTTATTCACCCTAAACCGGTTTTTCGGGTTTCAGGCTTAGGCTTTTCGGGTTCATGTGCCTCAAGACATCGTACCAGACATAGGATAGCAGAGCAACGCAGTTCCCATTAAGGTGCCCCCCCCCCCCTCTCTGAGGCTAGCAGTCGCACAGAGAGGCAGAGGACACGAATGTATGTTCTTAGGTGGCGGGTTTGGGATGTCTTGCTAACTGTAGCTTAAAGAGAGTCCTAGGTAGCCGAAACCCTAAACCCTAAACTCTAAACCTTAGCCACAGGCCCAGATCTCTGGGACGGCTCAATCTCTATGGGGTACTACCAATTGCTGAACCCCAAAAAAACTAAAAAATGTTCTACCTGAAAAGGGGGAATATTGGGATTATTATTTCAAAACATTCTGCCTTAAAAGTGGAATATAGGCTAGGTTTTTTTTTTTTTGGGCGGGGGGGGGGGGGTTCTTGAGCAAATAGTAGGGTAGGTACTGACATGAACCCCCGGCATGGGTAGCTCTCCCAATCATGGTCCCTGAGGAGGTTCCTTTTTCGGGCTTGGAGTTTATAGGGTTTAGGGTTTCGACAGAAAAGGGGGCCATGATTTGAGGTTTACATCATGGCGTGATGTTCCTAGATCCTCCGACTTGAAACGTCTTGAAAGTCCGCTGTTGTTTCGGCCACCAGTAACGGCCCTGAACCTTGTCTTGCCCAAATCCAAAACTCTTGTGCATCTGGGCTCACTGCGGTACCCCTAGTTCCTACTTACTCCGGGTGGGTTTAGGGTTTAGGGTTTAGGGTTTAGGGTTTAGGGTTTAGGGTTTAGGGTTTAGGGTTTAGGGTTTAGGGTTTAGGGTTTAGGGTTTAGGGTTTAGGAGTGTGTTGAAGGCCCACTGGCCTCCACTTGCCCTGTGGCAAACTCTTTGCCCGCAGAGCGCCAGAGCAGCTTCAGCCTCGGCGGGACTGGACTCTTCCAAGACTTTCGCCAAAAAGTTCTGGAGTCCTATCCTTGGGGACCAAATGAGCCTTATCAGGGTTTCGGGCTCATGTACCTCAATAGGAACTATAGTAAGACAGTGCATTATGATCCCAATTCTTAGGGTTCATTTGGTTTTCAAGGATGGTTCCACAGCTAGGGGTCCAGGGCGACCCACCCCCCACCCCTCCCCCCCCCTTCTTGCGTATATCGCGCAGAGGGAGGCACATGCCGAATGACGTTCTTATCCCCCCCAGCCCAAACAAACCAAACAAAAAATCGCAAACCGAGCGCCTCTGTTAGGAGGCGTTCGTGGCGCGCCAGGCAGAACCCTAAAAATACCATTTTTCGTTTTGTCGGAAGCCCACATTTTGGGCTTAGAGTTGAGAGGGTGTAGGTGAATGGCACCTTGACGGCAAATTGAGCCATCGACCTTTCTGTTTCTTAGACATGGAATGATCGAGGTGCCCTATATACTACATAATCCCTTATAGGGTTTGTATAGGGGGATGCAAGGCGCCTAGTTCCCTCCTTCGCTACTAAGAACCAGCCTGCTGGGGAGCCCGACACCAGACCAATTCTTTGGCCCGAGCCGGGCACGAGCTTGGGCTCGCCAGAGATCCTGATTCTGAGGTCTTTTGGGTTAGGGGGTTTAGGGTTTAGGGTTTAGGGTTTAGGGTTTAGGGTTTGGGGTTTAGGGTTTAGGGTTTAAGGTTTGGGGCTCTGGGGTATCAAGGGCTATTAGGCGTTTTTAGGCTTAGGGTTCAGCGTTTTGGGGGCTGAAGGTTGAGGATCTCTTTGCTTGCAGCAACAAGCAGGAGGTCAGCACCCGGGGACTGTAGGGCTCGCAAGCCCATGAGGCCCCCTGCTCCTTAATTGAGGAGTATTTGGGTTTTGGGTTTAGGGCTTAGGGTATAAGGTTTAGGGTTTAGGGTTTTAGGGTTTTAGGGTTTTAGGGTTTTAGGGTTTTAGGGTTTTAGGGTTTTTGGGTTTTTGGGTTTTAGGGTTTAGGGCTTTAGGGTTTGACGAGAGCAGGGGCACACATGAAACAAGGGATGTAATGGGCATGAGAACGTGAATGAAGGAATCTCCCGTTTTGCTGCAGTAGGGATCTTGGAACGAAGTCAGGAATATCCCTGGTCTGAGTGACCTCTCTGGGAGGTCAGGTGTGAAACATGGGCTGGCTTTCACAGCTGGGGTTTGGGATTATTTAGGGTTCAGCTTAGGGAGTAGGGTGTAGGGTTTAGGGTTTAGGGTGGTTCCAAACTGGTACACCCTCCCTCTTGCCTCAACTCTCCCACCTCTTCATCAGCGAGTTGTGCTCCCCACCTAGATCCTCAAGGCCCTGAATCCTATAAACCCGATAAACCCCGTAAACCCTACAAACCCTATAAACCCTACACACCCTGAATAAACCCTAAAAAACCACACAGACCCTATACGCCCTGTCTAACCCTTCCAACCCCTCTAAACCCTAAACCCTAAACCCTAAACCCTAAACCCTAAACCCTAAACCTCTCCTGGTCTGCAGGGACACGGCGGGGTCACTGAGTCGAAGTACCCCGAGGGCAGCGATAACCCGGGCGTCTTTGGCCTGCGACAAGGGATACCCAGAAATGTTTTGGGGTCAGAGGTAGTCCTTGAACCAATTCTGAGGGTTTTGGGTTTCTACGCTCACATTCGCAGTTTAGGGTTTGGGGATTTTGGGGGTTCAGGGTTTATCTGGTATTCTCTTTACCTACAGTTTAATTCAATGGGTTATGCCTACGAAATAAGGGGTAGCTTCTAGTGAACTGTAGGTAATAGGGTCCCAGGTCTAGGTTTAACACCCACGTGAAAGAAAGTATGGCCCAGTAAACCCTAAACCCTAAACTGGCAGTGGAATCAGCAGGCCGGACAGTGGGGCAGGGGCTGCAACTCACCATCCTTCTTCCAGATAGCCTCAAAACCCTCAACTTTAAGCCCTTCTTTGAATACTGGGCTCCGGGCAACCTCGCCAAACTTTAAACCCTAAACCCCAAACCCTAAACCCTTTTGAACCCCAAACCCAAACCCACTTTTCTTCCCCTCCTGGCTGGGAGGGGATACCCCAACTCGCTCTGAGAACCTGAGACCCGGAAGCTGAGGATCCCCAAACCCTCTAAACCCTTCTAAACCCTCTACACCCTTCTAAACCCCTCTAAACCCTTCTAAACCCTCTAAACCCTCTAAACCCTTCTAAACCCTCTACACCCTCTAAACCCTCTAAACCCTCTAAACCCTGTAAAAAAACCTTCTAAACCCTCTACACCCTCTAAACCCTTCCAAACCCTCTACACCCTCTAAACCCTCTAAACCCTTCCAAACCCTTCTAAACCCTTCTAAACCCTTCTAAACCCTCTAAACCCTCTAAACCCTTCTAAACCCTCTACACCCTCTAAACCCTCTAAACCCTTCCAAACCCTTCTAAACCCTTCTAAACCCTTCTAAACCCTCTAAACCCTCTAAACCCTTCTAAACCCTCTAAAACCTCTAAACCCTTCTAAACCCTCTAAACCCTCTAAACCCTTCCAAACCCTTCTAAACCCTTCTAAACCCTTCTAAACCCTCTAAACCCTCTAAACCCTTCTAAACCCTCTACACCCTCTAAACCCTCTAAACCCTTCCAAACCCTTCTAAACCCTTCTAAACCCTCTAAACCCTCTAAACCCTTCTAAACCCTCTACACCCTCTAAACCCTCTAAACCCTTCCAAACCCTTCTAAACCCTTCTAAACCCTTCTAAACCCTCTAAACCCTCTAAACCCTTCTAAACCCTCTACACCCTCTAAACCCTCTAAACCCTTCCAAACCCTTCTAAACCCTTCTAAACCCTTCTAAACCCTCTAAACCCTCTAAACCCTTCCAAACCCTCTACACCCTCTAAACCCTCTAAACCCTCTAAACCCTTCTAAACCCTTCTAAACCCTCTAAACCCTCTAAACCCTCTAAACCCCTCTAAACCCTCTAAACCCCTCTAAACCCTCTAAACCCTCTAAACCCTTCTAAACCCTCTACACCCTCTAAACCCTCTAAACCCTTCCAAACCCTTCTAAACCCTTCTAAACCCTTCTAAACCCTCTAAACCCTCTAAACCCTTCTAAACCCTCTACACCCTCTAAACCCTCTAAACCCTTCCAAACCCTTCTAAACCCTTCTAAACCCTCTAAACCCTCTAAACCCTTCTAAACCCTCTACACCCTCTAAACCCTCTAAACCCTTCCAAACCCTTCTAAACCCTTCTAAACCCTTCTAAACCCTCTAAACCCTCTAAACCCTTCTAAACCCTCTACACCCTCTAAACCCTCTAAACCCTTCCAAACCCTTCTAAACCCTTCTAAACCCTTCTAAACCCTCTAAACCCTCTAAACCCTTCCAAACCCTCTACACCCTCTAAACCCTCTAAACCCTCTAAACCCTTCTAAACCCTTCTAAACCCTCTAAACCCTCTAAACCCTCTAAACCCCTCTAAACCCTCTAAACCCCTCTAAACCCTCTAAACCCTCTAAACCCTTCTAAACCCTCTACACCCTCTAAACCCTCTAAACCCTTCCAAACCCTTCTAAACCCTTCTAAACCCTTCTAAACCCTCTAAACCCTTCCAAACCCTCTACACCCTCTAAACCCTCTAAACCCTCTAAACCCTTCTAAACCCTTCTAAACCCTCTAAACCCGCTAAACCCTCTAAACCCCTCTAAACCCTCTAAACCCCTCTAAACCCTCTAAACCCTCTAAACCCTTCTAAACCCTCTACACCCTCTAAACCCTCTAAACCCTTCCAAACCCTTCTAAACCCTTCTAAACCCTTCTAAACCCTCTAAACCCTCTAAATCCTTCCAAACCCTCTACACCCTCTAAACCCTCTAAACCCTCTAAACCCTTCTAAACCCTTCTAAACCCTCTAAACCCTCTAAACCCCTCTAAACCCTCTAAACCCCTCTAAATCCTCTAAACCCTCTAAACCCTTCTAAACCCTTCCAAACCCTCTACACCCTCTAAACCCTTCTAAACCCTCTAAACCCTCTAAACCCTCTAAACCCTCTAAACCCTCTAAACCCTTCTAAACCCTTCTAAACCCCTCTAAACCCTCTAAACCCTCTACACCCTTCTAAACCCTTCTAAACCCCTCTAAACCCTCTAAACCCTCTAAACCCTCTAAACCCTCTAAACCCTTTAAACCCTTCCAAACCCTCTACACCCTCTAAACCCTCTAAACCCTCTAAACCCTCTAAACCCTCTAAACCCTCTAAACCCTCTAAACCCTCCAAACCCTCTAAACCCTTCTAAACCCTCTAAACCCTCTAAACCCTCTAAACCCTTCTAAACCCTTCCAAACCCTCTACACCCTCTAAACCCTCTAAACCCTCTACACCCTTCTAAACCCTTCCAAACCCTCTACACCCTCTAAACCCTCTAAACCCTCTAAACCCTCTAAACCCCTCTAAACCCTCTAAACCCCTCTAAACCCTCTAAACCCTCTAAACCCTTCTAAACCCTTCCAAAACCCTCTACACCCTCTAAACCCTTCTAAACCCTCTAAACCCTCTAAACCCTCTAAACCCTCTAAACCCTTCTAAACCCTTCTAAACCCCTCTAAACCCTCTAAACCCTCTACACCCTTCTAAACCCTTCTAAACCCCTCTAAACCCTCTAAACCCTTCTAAACCCTCTAAACCCTCTAAACCCTCTAAACCCTCTAAACCCTCTAAACCCTTCTAAACCCTTCTAAACCCCTCTAAACCCTCTAAACCCTCTACACCCTTCTAAACCCTTCTAAACCCCTCTAAACCCTCTAAACCCTCTAAACCCTCTAAACCCTCTAAACCCTCTAAACCCTCTAAACCCTTTAAACCCTTCCAAACCCTCTACACCCTCTACACCCTCTAAACCCTCTAAACCCTCTAAACCCTCTAAACCCTTCTAAACCCCTCTAAACCCTCTAAACCCTCTACACCCTTCTAAACCCTTCTAAACCCCTCTAAACCCTCTAAACCCTCTAAACCCTCTAAACCCTTTAAACCCTTCCAAACCCTCTACACCCTCTAAACCCTCTAAACCCTCTAAACCCTCTAAACCCTCTAAACCCTCTAAACCCTCTAAACCCTCTACACCCTTCTAAACCCTTCTAAACCCCTCTAAACCCTCTAAACCCCTCTAAACCCTCTAAACCCTCTAAACCCTTTAAACCCTTCCAAACCCTCTACACCCTCTAAACCCTTCTAAACCTTCTAAACCCTCTAAACCCTTCTAAACCCTCTAAACCCTTCTAAACCCTCTAAACCCTTCTAAACCCTCTAAACCCTCTAAACCCTCTAAACCCTTCTAAACCCTCTAAACCCTCTAAACCCTTCTAAACCCTCTAAACCCTCTAAACCCTTCTAAACCCTCTAAACCCTCTACACCCTCTAAACCCTCTAAACCCTTCTAAACCCTCTAAACCCTCTAAACCCTCTAAACCCTCTAAACCCTTCTAAACCCTCTAAACCCTCTAAACCCTCTAAACCCTCTAAACCCTCTAAACCCTCTAAACCCTTCTAAACCCTCTAAACCCTCTAAACCCTCTAAACCCCTTCTAAACCCTCTAAACCCTCTAAACCCTCTAAACCCTTCTAAACCCTTCTAAACCCTCTAAACCCTCTAAACCCTTCTAAACCCTCTAAACCCTCTACACCCTCTACACCCTTCTAAACCCTCTAAACCCTCTAAACCCTCTAAACCCTCTAAACCCTTCTAAACCCTCTAAACCCTTCTAAACCCTTCTAAACCCTTCTAAACCCTCTAAACCCTCTAAACCCTTCTAAACCCTCTAAACCCTCTAAACCCTCTAAACCCTTCTAAACCCTCTAAACCCTCTAAACCCTTCTAAACCCTCTAAACCCTCTAAACCCTTCTAAACCCTCTACACCCTCTACACCCTCTACACCCTTCTAAACCCTCTAAACCCTCTAAACCCTCTAAACCCTTCTAAACCCTCTAAACCCTCTAAACCCTTCTAAACCCTCTACACCCTCTAAACCCTCTAAACCCTCTAAACCCTCTAAACCCTCTAAACCCTTCTAAACCCTTCTAAACCCTCTAAACCCTCTAAACCCTAATTCCTTAAACTCCCAACACGCGGCTGCTACGGCCTGCAGGCGCGCTGCTGAGGGGAAGTGGCTCTTCGGATGGTCCAAGACCTCCGTTCAGGGCTTTTTGGGTTAAACTAGAGGTGAGGCACTCGACACGTTGGGTCTCGGGCCTGGGGCCTTTGGGTTTAGGGTTCAGGGTTCAGGGTTCATGGCTTAGGGTTCAAGGCTCGTTGGCTTTTTGGGGCCTCTTTGTTGGCCATGTTCGACATGGAATGAGACGTAGGCTTGCAAACACACAGAGAATCCGCAACCTCACATCCCTCAGCAAATCTCTGTGTCTTTCGAAAGGCAACAACAAGGAAAGCCCTGAGCTATAGCCTCTTGAATCTCACACTGCCAACTTAGAGATTCGAACTCGCCCCCTAAACCCTAAAACCCTAAACCCTAAAACCCTAAAACCCTAAAACCCTAAACCCTAAAACCCTAAAACCCTAAAACCCTAAAACCCTAAAACCCTAAAACCCTAAAACCCTAAAACCCTAAAACCCTAAAACCCTAAAACCCTAAAACCCTAAAACCCTAAATAAACAACACAAAAAAGAACAAAACAAGCAAAAAGAAAAAACAAAAAGTCGCCAATGAAGAGGCCCGGGCCCCCAAGAGCTGGAGGGACTGCGCCGGCGTCAGCATGGCCGCCTTCGCGGCATCGTCGTTGAGCACGGGCATGACCTCAAGAGCCATTCTTCCCGGAAGTTGGGTTTAGGGTCTAGGGTCTAGGGTCTAGGGTCTCGGGTTTAGGGTTTAGGGTTTAGGGTTTAGGGTTTAGGGTTTAGGGTTTAGGGTTTAGGGTCTGTCGGTGGCCCCTAACTTACGCGCAAGGCACCATATAGACACCATATAGTATAGAGGTACCTACGCCAAGGCGCCACAGCCGCTGTGAATCCGAACCGTTCTTTGCCACTGGCTTCGAAGCTGCCCGAACTCTTCCAGCTTAGCAGCTGCTTTGTGGAACTTCGAGTACGGGTTGACAAACCCAGATGGAAAGCCTTCATTGCTACAACAAGCGCGCCACCGGCAACACCATCTCACAACATCACCTGCCCCGTGACTCTCACGCACCGATGTCCTCAACCCCTCCTTTTCCTTTTTTGCTAAACCCTATATAAATTACGTTAAACCCTAAACATCCCTAAACCCTAAACCCCAGAAACCCTATCAACTCTAACCCCTAAACTTAAACGCCTCTATAAACCACGAAAGCCAACACTTCTACCGGGAGCCGCACACCGCCCGGCCCGGGACCATAAGCTGGCCTGCCGCACAGACAGGTTGGGGTTTAGGGTTTGGGGTTTAGGGTTTAAGGTTTTGGGTTTAGGGTTTAGGGTTGAAAGCATGCTGCAGGGTGCTGGGGATCGGGCAGCCAGCGTGCGGGAAAGCGCCCTTTTCCCAGACCTGAGCCGCAACGTGGAGTGGAAGCCCCGAAATATCCTTTAGGGTTTAGGGTTTAGGGCTTAGGGTTTAGCCCTCAATCCTAAGCCCATGGACGCGTTCAGCCTAAACCCTAAACACTAAACTGTGAGCCCATAGCGATCCGCAATGCGAAGTCCTTATGCCCTCAACCCCCTCTGAAGTAGTAGTAAAAGAGAAGAGAGAAATTGCAGAAATATTCTTCCTTATACCCCGCTTGAATTGAGCTACCCAAAGCCGGGGGGTGGGTTCGGGGCTTAGAGTTTATGGATTTCGGCTTTGAGGGTTGTTCTGTGGGTTGATAGGGCTTGATAGGGTACAGGGATTCAGGCCTGTAGAGCTTCAGAATGTACTCCAAATCATCCCAGATATGAAATTCTAAACAACCCTAAACCCTAAACCCTAAACCCTATACCCTAAACCCTAAACCCTAAACCCTAAGCCCAACCCGGTTCATCTAGGGTTCTCAAGGTTCCAACCTTAGAGTTGGTGTTTAGGGGTTGGGACGTTCCCACTTCTACTAGCAGTCCTTAATATTGGGATGATAATACGGGGCGTACTAGAATCCCTATTAAGGACTGCTTAGTATAAGGGGGAACATCCCAAGGCTTAGGGGGGTGTGAAGCCCTTCGTTGCTGAGTTTTGTTAAGCCTCCCAATAAAAAAGTGTACGCTTTCAGTTCTATAGGGATTAGAGTATCCCAAAAAGTGTAAAGTGTACTCATTCAGCCCTAAACCCTAAACCCTAAACCCTAAACCCTAAACCCTAAAGCCTAAACCCTGCACCCTAAACCCTAAACCCTAAACCCTAACTCCCGGGCAGCAGATGCAGAGAGGAAAGACGCGGCTTCGGCTCACAAAGGAGCTGCGACCCTTGCTGGGGCACCGGCCCGGCCCCTCCTGCAAGCCAGGGCTTCGTTTTGTGAGTTTTTGGTGCTTGAAGCCCTGAACCCTAAACCCTAAACCCCCTAAACCCCCTAAACCCCCTAAACCCTAAGCCCTAAACCCTAAACCCTTCATCCTAAACCCTCAAGGGGCTAACGGTTAAGGGGTTTAGGGTTCCAGCTTCAGGTCTCGGGTTCAAGTGGAGACTGGGTCAAAGGGGTTCGGGTCTGGGCTTCTGGAGGCTCCAGGTTCAGTGGGTTGCCTTTATCGTCGGGGGGCTAAGGTCCTTGCGGTTAGGGTTTAGGGTTTAGGGTTTAGGGTTTAGGGTTTAGGGTTTAGGGTTTAGGGTTTAGGGTTTAGGGTTTAAGGTGTAGGGTTTAGGGTTTAGGGTTTAGGGTTTATGGCATAAGGTCATTGTCAAGAAGCCCCGAATCCATACACTACGTCGTGTGAGTATCAGGAGGCCCAATCCCTACGCACTACGCGCTACGGTCACGAAGGATTTTAGGGTTTAGGGTTTAGGAACTTGCCACGAAAAGGGGCAATAACAAGGGGCCATATCTTAGTTGCTGAGTTCATAAGCCCCAAAAAAGTGCACACTTTCAGTTCTATAGGGGATTATAGTATCCCAAAAAATGTAAGCTGTACTTACTCAGCCCTAAACCCTGAACCCTAAACCCTACTAAGAAGCCTCGGCCTATGGAAAGCTTGTTGTTAACCCCGGGACTGCTAAGGCTTCCCACCTTGAGGTAACCTAGCTGAGCAACCGTAAACCAGTACAAGGATTGGGGTTTAGGACTTAGGTTTAGAGGGTTTAGGGCTTTAGGGTTTAGGATTGAGGTTTATAGGGTCTAGGGTTTTAGCGGTTAGAGTTTGGGGACCCCAAACCCTAAACCCCGAAACTAAAGCCTTCCTTCAAGCGTCTGGCCTTGCAGAAGAGCTTCAGGTCCGGCAGTAGCTGCTTGATCGCCTCGGAATGGGGTTTAGGGTTTAGGGTTTAGGGTTAAGGGTTAAGGGTTAAAGGTTTAGGCCGTGGGATTCCCCCGTGATAAGGGATGCCGAGGGTATAGGGCTCTCGGCTTAGGATGTTCGGTGGGCTGACGGCTCGAAAGGGGGCTTTTTGATTGGACTTTTCGGGTGTGCTGCCTCCAACTCTACTCTCTCTCTCTCTCTCTCACGGTTTAGGGTTTAGGGTTTAGGGTTCAGGCATTCCAACTCTACACTCTAAACTCAAAATCCTCAAGCCCCTGTAACTTGAAGTGATTCAAAGCTGAAAAACAGAACTCCCCGAAAGCTTCCTCGACACTTTGGCTGGACCTGACCTGTGAATAATTTCAATAAACCCCTAAACTACCCTAAGCGGGAAACCCTATAAACCCTAAGCCTGAACCCTGAACCCTCAACCCGAATCCCTACCACCCTGGAGTCCTGGGCCCCCACACGCGGGGAGTCGGGTTTAGGGTTTAGGGTTTGGGGTTTGGGGTTTGGGGGTTAGGGTTTGGGGTTTCAAGGCTTCGGGAGCTGGAAACGGGTCTCTGGGAGATCTAAAAAGGTCCACCCCAAGCGTGCTCGAAAACAAATTTAGGATCCCCTTCGTCCATGAACAGCGCAGAGCAAGCTTCTAACCCCTAAACCCTAAACCCTAAACCCTAAACCCAAAACCCTCAACCCTAAACCCTGGACCCCATACCCTAAACCCTAAACCCTAAACCCCAAACCCTAAACGCCCCACAAAGTTTCTTCTCCGGCCTGGGGAGGTGGCAGTGAAGACTTGCCGGCCTGCGGGAAAGCAATCGAGGTGCCTTTTGAGGCCTAGACCCCGCTGGGGTTTAGGGTTTAGGGTTTAGGGTTTAGGGTTTAGGGTTTAGGGTTTAGGGTTTAGGGTTTAGGGTTTAGGGTTTAGGGTTTAGGGGTCTTGGCAAGTTTAGAGGTTTGAGGTTTTTTTGGGGGTTCAGGGTTGTTTGGGGTTTAGGGGTTAGAGGTTTAAGGTTTAGGGTTTAGGGTTTAGGGGTTTAGGGCTGAGGAACTAAAGTTGACGAATCGCAGGCCTTTGGGTTTGCCCACCTGGGACTCTCTCTTTACCTACAGTTTCATGGGTTATGCCAGCTACATATGCGGCAGTTACTACGAAACTGTGGGTAAATAGATCCCAGAGGTAGGCTTTAGGAAGTTTATGGGTTTAGGGGTGTAGGGTTTTTTGGTACGGGCTTGGGATGGTCTAGGTTTTTCGGTCTGCTTCTCATCGGAGGATTGGGTTTCAGTCGATGGATTAAGGTTTTAGTAGGGAGAGCAGGGATGTAGGGGGTGGCTTTGGGGGCCCTAAGGTTTTCAGGCTTCGCGGGGGCTTGGGCTTGAGCATCTTAAGGGAAACCCTAAACCCTCAACGGTAAACCCTAAACCCTAAACCCTAAACCCTAAACCCTAAACCCTAAACCCTAAACCCGAAAGCTACGTTTAGGGGGCCCTAAGGCATGCCAACGCACACGACTGCACATGCAATGATGTCCTCCACTGCCAGCGCCGACATCCTCAGACGCACCCACAACCATGCTCTCTACATTTTGAAGCTGGCTTTGCTGACTGCCAGACCGCTAAAGCATAAAAAGCCTGCTACATCCCAAAAAAACTAGCACCCAACACCCTCAGCCTTGGTTGCCAAGATGTGCATCACATGACATGCCGCCCAAGCATGGCTCCTAAACCCTAAACTTCTAAACCTCTAAACCCTAAACCCTAAACCCTAAGCCCTTTCGGCCCTTCGGGTTTTCCGAAACCCTCAGCGAGGCCGTAGCATGGAAGTCTCGAACTCCTGCTGAGAGGTTTAGGGTTTAGGGTTTAGGGGTCTCGTGTAATTTACTACGAATCCCCTTCCCCAAATATTAACCCCCCGCTCCTAACCCCTTTATTTTTGTCCTGTCATTGTATAGGGGGTGGGGGGGGTATGTCGCTTGTGGGGTAGGGGGGTTTAATTGAGAACGCGCCCCCACACAACCCACCCCGTCCAGTCCAGATGCAGGCACTGAATTCCATGCACTTTTTGAGTCCTATAATGAAGTCTCTTGGGCCCTTGTCGCCCCTCTACTCTCCCCGCGCAAGCTTTGATTTGCTGGGGGATATCAAAATCGGGACCGCGGGTCTCGAATTCTTGGAACAACATAGGCTGCACGACAAGGCTTCGGAAAACCTGTGTAATCCCCTCGGGGATCCTCAAACCCTAAACCTTAAACCCTAAACCCTACATCCTAAACCCTAAACGGTAAACCCTAAACGGCATTGTGTTCTTTATGAGGGCCTTGGTGGTGCATCCTAGCTTTGGACAACCTTCTGGTTCCCTAAGCCCTAAACCCCTAAACCCTATAAACCCTATAAACCCTATAAACCCTATAAACCCTATAAACCCTATAAACCCTATAAGCCCTATAAGCCCTATACACCCTAAAGCCCTAAAACCCTAAAAACCCTAAAAACCCTACAAACCCTAAACCCTAGCTTTGGACAACCGGCTGGTTCAAGTAGAATGCGGTACTGGGCACTCCGCGCGCTTGTGCCTTGGCTCTTGCTTGGGACGCTGCTTCAACCGCCACTGACGCAATCTAGTCTTGCTTGCCTTGATCAGCACCACCCCCCCCCCCCCCCCCCGCCCACCCAAAAAAAAAAAAAAAGACAGCCGCCGCAACCTTGACCTCCAAATGTCCCGCAAAACAAAGAGACTTCTCAACGACTCCCAGCGGCCTCATCGACTAGGCTGCCGTCCTCCGATTCCGGGTGCGGCAAGAAGGCCACTAGCTGATCGACTTTCCCTAGCACCTCGGAAGCTGCTTGTCACTTAAAATGGTTTAGGGTTTTGGGGTTTAGGGTTTCGGGGTTTAGGGTTTAGTTCAAGCGCCTGGAGTCACCAGGAGTCAGACACGCCCAAGCACGGGACTTGACACCGCGAACTCGAGTTCTACATGACAAAAAAGTTAATATGTATTGTCTCAGTGCAATGGATTATGTAGTCTGAGGTCTAAAGCACATGAAGCTACATAACCCTAAACCCTAAACCCTAAACCCTAAACCCTAAAGCCTAAACCCTAAACCCTAAACCCTAAACCCTGGCCATGGCGCCGTCTGGTGGCACAAGTGCGCGGCCTCCTTTGAAGCCAAAGCAGGGCTTGGAGGGTTTAGGGGCTTATGGGGGTTTATAGGGGTTTATGGGGGCGTATAGGGGTTTATAGGGGTTTATAGGGGCTTATAGGGGCTTATAGGGGTTTATAAGGGGTTTCTAAGGGGTTTCTAGGGGCTTATAGGGGTTTCTAGGGTTTATAAGGGCTTGTATCGGGGTGTATCGGGGTTTATAGGGGTTTATAAGGGTTTGTAGGAATCCCGGAGGACTGAAATTCCTATTCGTTGTGCCTGCTTTAGTGCGCGGCCCCCCCCCCCCCCACCCACCCTGAACAGTCGAAGCTGGGTTCTTGCTCTCTTGACAAAGGTCCGCGGGTTTTATATGGCTTTAGGGAGGAGTCTATTTATGAGTTGAAAAGGGACAGCGAGGGCCGGCAATTGATTTTACAGGCGCGCCGCACGAAAGTTTTTTTCTGCGACGCCTGGAAGACTTGGCTTCATTGCGGACCCCCACCCTAGACCCTCAAACAGTCACACTGACGTAAAACCGGGGGGCCCCCACTCAAGCGCGTCCAACATTAAGCTATATGAGCCCTTCTACCCTTTTAGGGTTCATTTGGTCCCCAAAGATTGGCTTGACGGACATGTCGATCAGGTCTGGCTTTTACGGTTGAGGTTCCCTTTCTCTTTGTTGCCTCCTGGTTCACGGTTTGAGGTTCGGAGTTCGGGGGGTCTTGCGCTTAGTTCGACGGCATGTCATGACCCGGCTTCTGACTTTACTGATGTTCCTAGGCTTGTACCTACCAAGTCATGGATGAAGGACTCTTCACTAAAGCTGATGATGTGCTCTGCGAAAGCAATGACAGGACATTTACGGAAGTCGTCGGCTGGCTAAAGTTGCTGTCCATACCCCAGTGAGAAGCAGCAGGGGGCAATTCGGGCTTTCAAGCACCAACCTTGGGTGTTTAAGTTCTAACCAACCTGGACGTAAAGAAACTTACATCAACCAGGATGTGAAAAGAAACACAAGGATCATCAACCGCGATGCATCACTGCGGCTGTCTTGACCAGGACCATGCCACAGACAGGTTTCACTTTGAGACGGTTGAACTCAACATCGCGATGCCAAGAGGCACATGATGCTAGATTCGAAGCCTGCGAGGCTACAAAGGATTCCATAACACAAGCTCAGGTGACGATAATGTGAGATCTGATATACGTCTTTGCCATTGTGTCTTTACACAGTTCAGTTGCAGGTAGTCGCGGCGAAACGTGCAATCTCAGCCTCAGCTTCTGGAGCCACAACCAATGCCAATCATCTTGCGGCAAGGAGCTCCGAGCGGGAACAGCCCAAAACCATTTTTACAAGCATGGCAAGGGCAACAATAGTGCTCCTGACCACTGATTACTTAAATTTCATCTGGTCTAGGCAAGTAGCTTCGGGTTTAGGGTTTTGGGTTCTGGACCTTCTAACTTCTTCAGGTTATGCTGATTACGCTGACGTGTTTGCAACTTTTCGTGCTGCGAAGGCTGGAAGGGGATGAGGGGGGTTGGGGGCGGGTGGGGGATCGCTGGCTCATGTGAGCTCAGAAGTATGTCAGAAGCAAAGGTTTAGGGTTTAGGGTTTAGGGTTTAGGGTTTAGGGTTTAGGGTTTAGGGTTTAGGGTTTAGGGTTTAGGGTTTAGGGTTTAGGGTTTAGGGTTTAGGGTTAGGGTTTGCTTCTGCAGGGCTGAGGAGTCTTTTGGTTCAGGGTCGTAGGCTTTAGGTAGTGGGGACCCCCACAAAGGACCCCTTGATTCTGCCCGCAAGTCTGATGGTACACCTCCCTTATGGGTTTTAGGGGTCCGGCGTTAGGGTCTAGGGTTTCGGGTTCAGACCCAAAGCAGCCCCCATGACACACATAGCTTGACGGACCACTCAGCAGGGGCACACATCCCTTGTACGAGTCCCTCAAATGGCTTACAGTAGCGCATGATCTTGATCCAAGTGGCCCCGTTGTGCCCAGAGATGTTAGGGTACTCAGTAAGCCCTGAAGCCCTTGAAAAAGGACAAGGAAACGGGTTTAGGGTTTAGGGGGTTCAGGGTTTAGCAGTCTCCTTTGTGAACCCAGACTCGGACTCAACCCTACACAGGGACTACAACTGGGGGACCTTGTCACTTTCTAGGTTGGCTCTTAAAACCCTGTGAAAAATATTCCTGAATATGATCCTCTTACACCGGGTTTACGGTTTAGGGTTTTTTAGGGTAACCCAATAAGGGAACATATAACATGTCCTAAGGGCCTACCGAGGTGTCGACCCTAAACCCTAAACCCTAAAGCCTAAACCCTCAAACCCTAAACCCTAGAGCATCCTCAAGTCAATTCCCATCCTCGAAACGCAGGGAGCTGTGCCCAGGGCTGGAGACGACGTGAGCCCCCGCCTCCTGAGAAAGATGACAAGTGCGGGTCTGGGGTTTTGGGCGGTTTAGGGTGTAGGGTTTGGGGTTTAGGGTTTAGGGCAATCAATCTTTTCAATTCTCTGAACCGAAGGTCTCGTGTTCTGATAACGCCAAACGGCATCATGCTTTAAGGATCTAGATTTGGGGCGTAATTAGGGCTTAGGGCTGAGAGAGTTTCTCGGGAGGGGGGGGGGGGCTTCTGAGGTTTGGGGCAACGGATCAAAAAAATTGCCTGGCATGTTGGGTATACATATATCTTAAACATTAAAAGGAACTGGACCCTAAACCCCCGTTGGGACCCCCCCCTCCACCCGCGAATCAAGCTAGAACAGCCCGTGTATGATCTATTTAAGACGAAGCCTCCTACAGTCGAACTCTCAACATGGCTGAGATTAAGTGTTAAGGTCCCTATAGGGGGCCGACATGCCCTGTCACACACATCTACCCCCTCTCTCATAGAGAACCTAAGTCGCCAACTCCCTATACCACTGTCTAGCCCCATTAGAAGGGATCCCTAAACCCTAAACCCTAAACCTCCTAGAACCCAGCACAACCTATGCGGAGACAGGCGGCGACGCACGTTGGGATCAGCTGGCGCAGCTTTCGCTCTTGCTGCGCTTCGGTTTGCGGTAGCACCACCGTGAGGTGTTCCTGAATGGGATTTGGAGATTACAGGGTCTTAGGGTTTAGGGACTTAGGGTCTTAGGATCTTGGGGTCTTGGGGTCTTGGGGTCTTAGGGTCTTAGGGTCTTAGGGGTCTTAGGGGTCTTAGGGTTTTAGGGTTTTAGGGTCTTAGGGTCTTAGGGGTCTTAGGGTTTAGGGTATGGGGGTTTAGGACCACCAAGATTACAGCGGCTTTTGGTTTTAGGGCTAGGGCTTGGGGCTCGACTGGGGAGGGGGTGGCGGCTTTAATTGTCGGAGGGCTCAATACAGGCATTCAAAAAGGAATATATATATATATATATATACATATATATCCACACACTATATTTTATTTGGACTCTTATAGTACTTTGCTGGTGTTTGTGCTTATGCGGAGCTGTGCTTGTGACTGCTTGCGAAGCTTCGCAGCTTTGCAGAGGAGTCCAGAACCTGCCCTCCATGTTCAGAAACCCTGCAGTTGAAGCCAAAGCCCGCCAACGGTAGACACTTGAGCCGGGGCTTAGGGTGAATTTATTGGGGGCTCAGGGTTTAGACGGTTTAGGGTTTAGGGCTTAGGCCATTTCCTGCTGGACTGTTCTCGGCTGCCAGGACAAGAACACACATCTCCCGGCCGCGGCCAAAAACCTAAACCCCGAAACCCCAAAATCCCGAGCATCATGGAGCCCCTGTGTGCCCTAAGGTCGAGGACCTTCATCCCTAAACCCTAGGGTTTAGGGTCGCTTAGGGAATTTAGGGATCTTTAGGTTTAGGGTCTCGAGGGCTTGGGGATCTAGGGTTTCGGGATCGAGGGCTTCAGGTTCGTTAAAAAAGCCCCCAAACGTCCCCACAGACTTACCCCCCCTGAAAGCCTCTACTAGGATGGCCCTTAAGGTCCGCTGAACAAATATTCCTAAATGTGATCCTCTTAAACCCAAAAAGGGAAAATATTCCTAAAGATGATCCTCTTAAACCCAATAAGGGGAAATATCAAATGTCCCAAGGGACTACCTATAGTCTATGCTTCAAGTCAGCAAAGGTGCCGGATGTCCACCCCGCAGCGCACCCTCGGACCATCGTCGGTCATGGATTTGTACTTAAAGCCCTCTGGCAAAATATTCCTACGTAAGGCAAAATATTCCTACATAGAGGCTCCTAAACCTAACAAGGCAAACGATAGAGAACCTCGCAAGGGCCTGCCAAGTTCACAAGACTACTGTTATCAAGGATGAGTCCTGTTGCCATTAGAACGCTCCAACGGGCAGACATCTAAGAAGGGGGCCATACATTGGGATGTTCCCCGCTATACTAACAGTCCTTAATAGGGATTACAATAGGGGGTGCTAGAATCCCTATTCAGGACTGTTCGTATAAGGGGGGACATCCCAAAACATACACATCAAGGAGCTAAGTTGAGGAGGGGGCGAGGGGTGATGCATTGAACAAGGATGAGATGCAAGAAGACACTGTCCTGAAGTGTTTAGGGTTTATGGTTTAGGGTTTCGGGTTCGAAAGCCAAGTTCAAGAGGATACGAAGATGACCCCGATCCCTTCACCCGAAACTGTGCTGAACGGCCCTGCTACGCCTTGCGAACGAAACAGTTCGTGCAGGCGCATGAGGCAGCCTGCGGCATAAGTACATCCAAAGCCAGAAATCACCTTTTGGCTTGGTGAAAGTCAAGCTTGGAAGAAGGACATCCCTAAACCCCAAGCGCAAGCGATTGGAACCCCAGGATTTGACAGAGTATGCAGACCTTGCAGGCAAAACAAAGCCTCGCTTATCCCAACTTCTGGGGTATGGTTGGGGTTTGGGGTCAAGGGTTTCGAAACTAAACTCTATAAACCCTTGTAAGCCCAACACCCTAACCTTCTAAACCTACCCTAGGAGTACAAAAGGGTGCCCTTTTTGGTTTTTAAAAAGGGTCTGATCAAGCCCTGGTCCCTTTATTTTCGGAAATGCCCCACTTCGCCGTGGCCTTGATCACCGCCGCATTTGCCTCCACAGAGCCAGAGGTGAAAATGTGATCGCCGTTCACCTTGGCAAGACGGGGGCTTTCCTTCAAAAGGCACTTTAGGGGTTGATGATGGGGATTATAGGGCCGAATAGCCCATCCGGGCAGAGGTGAAAATGTGATCGCCCTTCACCCTGGCAAGAAAGCGCTTTTGGGGATTGACAAAGCAACCCAAGCCCCTTTTGGGGCTTGGTTCGTCGGCTGGGGGGAAAGACGCCCTAGCTGAAGGGCATAGGGTTTGGGGTTTAGGGTTTAGGGTTTAGGGCATAGGGTTTGGGGTTTAGGGTGAAAGGCGTTCGGTTTTTTTGTTGTTTAGGGATGCTGAGCTTCAGCGGGCTTGGATGAAGCAAGGTCGTGTAAAGTGCCCGGAAACCGCCCCCCCAGACCCGAAACCCTGAAAGCCCTGTAGGCCCTACTGCAAACACCCTTTCAATCCTAGAAAAACCCCATACACCCTTTAAACCCTGTAAATCCTACAAACTACAAGCCCGAAACCTTGAAGCGGCCCTAAACCCTAAACCCTAAACCCTAAACTTTAAACCCTAAACCCTAAACCCTAAACCCTAAACCCTAAACCCTAAACCCTAAACCCTAAACTTGAAACCCTAGACCCTAAACCCCCTTAAGGCAAAAGATGCTGGAGCCGAGCCACCGCATGGGCGCGGCTCAGCATCTCGATCTCCTTCTTGGCTGCACTTAGGAGGGTTTAGGGTTCAGGGTTTAGGGTTTAGGGTTTAGGAAACCCAAGAAGCTCAAAAAGGCGAAGGATGTAAAAATCACAGCAAAACACCACAAAGTCCTTGAGGTGGCGGGAGTTGCACTCGTCCGTGCAGAGGATCGCGATCTTCTGCGGAGGGTTGGCCTGCCCCCCCCCCCCCAAAATAGTCAGAAAGTACAAGTTAATTGCAACAAAAGCTGTTGTCACATAGTCCGGAACAGTCCAACCCCCCCCCCCCCCCCTCCCCCAAATATTCGAGGGGCCTCCATAATTTTAGAATACGATGTTGGGGGTTATAGTAGTAGTACTATAGGAACCTGAATAATTAGAGTAAGGCTTGGGGGGGTTACTATAATATGATTAGAGGGGAACCCAAAAGCATATCATCAGTAACGATTCCGACCCCATTTCTTTCAGGCTCTTTCAGGCTCTGGTGTCCCTTCCTTTGGTAGCAAGAAGCTGAAAAACGCCGACCCCCACAGGAAGCAATATCAGAGTCTTCGGATATGTGGGGGTTCCGACATTGGGGTCGTGAGAATAAGGGCATCCTACTACTCGGGTGTCGAAATTAGGGGCCCCTTAGTTTTCGTAAACCCCCATATCGTGCTGTCTCAAGGCCTGTGGAAGTGATGTCTAGCCAGACAGGAGCTGTGCTGGCCAGACAGGCCGACTCGTTCACTTTCGCTGTCAGAAGGGAGCTTCCAACATATTAGGGGTACTATACATAGGGGCCCCAATAATTCGAACAGGTTTTTGTTTTTTTTGCTTTGGAGGGGGGGGGGGTTTATTATAGTATAATCATAAAGGGACCATAAGGGAATACTCTTCGTGATTCTTCCGACCCCTATAGTACCTGCTTTGGGTAACTAAGAATACGGACTTTTCAAACCTTGGGTGCCTTAAGGGGCATCCCCATGTGTGGAGATGCTCATGAAGGACAGCCTCTGTTGGTTTCAAGGGCTGGGGAGTGCTTGGAGCTTGAATGGCTTCTTTGTCCTGCACCCAACCCACAACAACAACTCCCTACTTGGAGGTTCATGGTACTTATGAACCAATTATAGCTTGTACTGATAACTGTACTTAAAACCAGATTAAGGGCCTTAAGGTGCTTATAAGTGGTTGTAAGTAGAGTTATAATTGGTTAGTAAGTACCATGAACCTCCAAGTACACCCCCAAGAGTCCACAATTCCGACAACCAGCAAACCTCACGCCAATCAGGCTGTTAGCATTCACAGCTTCTCGACCCAATAGCAACAGGGGAATGAAAAGGGTACATTTTTTCTTTAAAAGGGCTTGTAAGGGAACCCAACCCGAAAAGACTGAATAAGGGCCTACTGGTTCCTGGTACTTAAGAACCACTGATAACTGCATTTGTAACCCACTTGTAAACCCCTCAATTCCCCTAATATGGTTCTAAGTACAGTTATAAGTACAGCTACTATTTGTTAGCAAGTACCATGAACCTCCAATGTAGGTTTGCAAATCTGGGTCGTAGTAGCCCTAAACCCTAAACCCTAAAACCCTATCCCCTAAAGCCCTATCCCAGGGAAAAGAGGCGGCCTCTAGTTCCATCATCTCAGGCGTCGTCACCTGCCCCGTCCTCTCCGCCCGGCCACGCTTGCTCCTTGTCCGGTTGGCATCGCGCTTTTTTCCATGCAGTCACAAGAGCCCCTTCGATGTCATCAGGGTTTAGGTTTTTTTTTTTGCCACCCGCCTAGGGTTTAGGGTTCAGGATTTAGGGTTTAGGGTTTAGGGGTAGGCCCATCTTAACCTCACAAGCCTAACGCGTAGCTCGACATGGCCCACGGTGGACCCTATAGAAGGTCCTTCCCGGGCCGAGGAAGGACCGGCAGGCTCGGACGATGGCGGAGGTCCGAAGGTAGAACCTGGGATGAACACCAGGCAAGATGGTAAGCAATGGGGGTTCAGGGTTAGGGCGCTGGGGTTTGGGCTTTAGGATGCTGTGTTTGGACCTGCTAGGAATTCTGGGTACTTTGTGAACAGTTGCGGTTTCCTTGCTACAGGCGGGCTGCAACGGATGTTGGCTCACAGTTGCAGATTGCAAACCGAGCACTCATTTTCAGTTTCGCCCTGTTGCAAAAGAAGTTTCTCTGGTATACCTAGTAGACCTGAACTTATACACCACGAGGACGACTGGTGGCATTTAGGCTGGAGGCTTACCCTGCAAGCACCTCAACGTAGAGCAGTGAGCCCCAACAAAAACAAGGGCTACTGTTCACACAGTGAGCCCAGAAACCTAAACCCGAAACCCTAAACCCCAAACCCCAAACCCCAAATAAAAACAAGAGCTCCGCTGATGTTCGAGCTGCTTGAATGTCTCCCACCGCGTAAGGGACTTGCTCCTCCTCGGTGTCGCCGTGCGAGCTGGAGCTATGACCTCCCGAAGGCATCACATTGACACTTGCTTACGGTGTTGGGGTTTAGGGTTTAGGGTTTGGGGTTTGGGGTTTGGGGTTTGGGGTTTGGGGTTCTGGGTTTGGGGTTTGGGTTTGGGGTTTGGGGTTTGGGGTTTGGGGTTTGGGGTTTGGGGTTTGGGGTTGGTGGTTTGGGTTTGGGGTTTGGGGTTAAGGGTTTAGGGTGATCCTAACCCCCAGCACCCTCCCCCTAAACCCTGTCTTCGTCCCGCCCTGAAGCCCTACAAGCCCCGCTAAACTACCCCCAAAAGAACCCGGCTCCTCTGACAAAACCCAAAACCCCAAAACCACAAAACCCCAAAACCCCAAACCCTAAACCCCAAACCCTAAACCCCTAAACCCCCAAAACCTAAACCCTAAACCCTAAACCCTAAACCCCCCCCCCCCACTTGCCAGGGACCTCGGCTTCCCGCGCGAGGGCGCCACGCGCCAGGCCGGGCCGGAGGCCGCCGGCGTAGAGCGAGCTGGGCAGAAGCCCCTCCATGGCTTCTTCGGACTTCCTTTTGAAAAAGGTTGTTGCTTATATAGCATGTTTCGTACGGGTATACATATGTGTATGTATATATGTTGATTTATTTACTCATTGGATGTATTTAGACATGTTCTTACATATATATATATATGTGTGTGTGTATGTATATGAAGAAATATGTATACATGCATACATACATCCATACATATCTTTTTTATTTATATATGCACATGTATATATGTATGCGAGTGTGTGTTTATTGGTATTTTCAACCACTGCTTCTTTTTCTTGCTATTGTGTGCCATGGGGAAGCTTCGGGTTGGCAAACCCTTTGCACCCTGAACCCCCTAAACCCTAAACCCTAAACCCTAAACCCTAAACCCTAAACCCTAAACCTGCTTGAGACGGAAGCTTGCTGGCAGCTAGGAAAAACGCGCCTCTAGGTAAAGCCCCCCAAGCCCCAAACTTGCTAAGCTGAACCCTCTTCCCTTCTGGTCACTGCAAAGTGCATATATATATATATGTATATATATATATGTATATGTACATATATGTATTGTTTTTTTTTCTCTCTCCGGTTTGGGGTCGGCACTTCACAGGAGAAACTGGGCGAGCCACAAGGACGTCAGCTTGGGATACAGAAGCCCTCTGCTCACACGAATGACCCCACCGGGGACCCGGTTGCTACAAGAACTCATGTCCAAACCCAACAAGCCTTTAACGCCAGACCTGGGCACGTATCCGGGGGAGGGTGCATCACCGAGCCCGAAACAACGCCAACCCCCAAATCCCAAACCCTCAACCCGAAGCCCTGAACCCCTAAGCCCTAAAACCCTAAATTCCATAAACCCTAAACCCTAAACCCTACACCCTAAACCCTAAACATAAAATAGTGCTGTTGGAGCAGAGGGGCGCGTGGCTGAAGGCTGTGCGCAGCTCTTCGGACAGGCTCCTTGGCTACCGCTGTCTGCACTGGAGCCCTATCAGAGGTCAGAAACGAAAACAAAAGCTCTTGAACTCTTAGCCCTAAACCCTAAACCCTAGATCCTAAACCCTAAACTCTACACCCTACACGCTAAACCCTAAGCCCTAAGCCCTAAGCCTCAGAGATGTGTGCGACCGAGGCACTCCGGCTCAGCGCTGCAGCACCACGTCACGAGGCCCTCAGCAAGGCACTCGGATTTGGGCCAGGGTTTAGGTTTAGGGTTTAGGGTTTAGGGTTTGGGGTTTGGGGTTTGGGGTTTGGGGTTTGGGGTTTGGGGTTTGGGGTTTGGGTTTGGGGTTTGGGGTTTGGGGTTTGGGGATTGGGGCGAGCTTCCGAGGAAGAGCCCCGAGCTCTTAATCAGGGGTTTGGGGTTTGGGGTTTAATCACGGAGTACACAACCGATCATGTTAGGATCTTGACTGCAACTTACGGGAATATTCCTGACCGCATGTTTCGGCCGGAAGCCCTAAACCTTTTTCATCAGCTTAAATCCCAAATGCCCTAAACACTAAACCCTAAACCCTAAATCCTAAACCCTAAACCCTAAACCACTCTTTCATATATAATATAAATGTTAATGACTTTGCGGGCAAGGTCATATATTTAGCGGGCAAGGTCATATATTTAGTGGGCAAGGTCATATGTTTAGCGGGCAAGGTCATATATTTAGCGGGCAAGGTCATATATTTAGCGGGCAAGGTCCATTGGCTAAAAAATGACCTTGCCCACTAAATATATGACCTTGCCCGCTAAAGGGCGACCTTGCCCGCTAAATATATGACCTTGCCCGCTAAATATATGACCTTGCCCGCTAAATATATTGCCCGGGCCAGGTCATATATTTAGCGGGCAAGGTCATATACTTAGCGGGCAAGGTCATATATTTAGCGGGCAAGGTCATATTTTTCGCGGGCAAGGTCATATATTTAGCGGGCAAGGTCATATTTTTAGCGGGCAAGCAAGGTAAAATATTTAGTGGGCAAGGCCCAGACCCCCCCCACCCCCGCCCCCTACCCTCCCCCCCACCCCCGCCCCCTACCCTCCCCCACCCCCCCCCCCCCCCACCCCCCCCTCCCCCACCCCCCCACCCCCCCCCCCCCTCCACGCCCCCCCCCCCACCACCCCCCCTCAACCCCCCTCGACAATGAAGTGGATCAAAGGTGGGGTGGGGAAGCCCGCCTGTCAAGATGGCTTTTAAAGAATAAGTTTCTGAATGACCGCGCCTGTTTTTGAGGCCCCTGAAGCCCCTCAGAAGAGTCAAGAGACTCAAGATGGCTTCCAAAGAATAAGTTCCCGAATGACCGCGCCTGTTTTTGAGGCCCCTGAAGCCCCTCAATCGATTCAAGAAACTCAAGATGGCTTCCAAATGTGATAAACAGATCCATTCTGTTGACCACGTTTGGTTTTCTTGTCCGCTCGAAACAGAAACATGTGGTTAACAAATCCATTCTGTTGACCACGTGCCGAGAGAAGAAGGAGGTTGGATATGTTTCCTAATGTTGTTGAAAACGCGTCTGACTTGGGTAGGTAAAACTCTTTGGAGTAGGAAGAAAACCTTTTATTTTCTTAATGTTATGGGATCCTTTGGGCGGGTGGGTTTTTTTCCGTTGCCTGAACACACTGCTGGCCTAGTAAATGCTCGAACTTGAGATGCTGAACCCCAAACCCTAAACCCTAAACCTCTAAGCCCTAAGAGGCCATCGCGGCTCTCTAGGTTGGCTTTCCGGAAGTCTCGTATGGACCTCTTGGGGCCAGCCGCCATCGGTTTAGGGTTTAGGGTTTAGGGTTTAGGGTTTAGGATTAGGGTTTAGGGTTTAGGTTTCCGGGTTAAGGGTTAAGGGTTTAGGGTTTCTCCGGAGGGTTCGTTTGCGCGTTCTTTAGACGTTAACCTGGTTGCTGAGTACCCTTGGCCAAACAAGGTTAACCTTTCAATTTTCAATTAGGGGTAAGATTCTATATCTATATACGCCAAAAGGTTAACGGTTACCTACTCAGCAACTAAGGTAGTGGGTTTATGTCTTCGGGTTTAGGCTTCAGGTTTTAGGGTAAGATTTTCTAGGCTCCTGTATGACTATGATTACTATGAGGTGTTGTCGTGCTGCGGCTAGCCACACTGACACTGTCCTGCGTTCTTCTTGCACGCCTATAGCACACCTCAAAATAACTCGGACCTTACGCCTAGAACTGGCCACAAAGTTCAGGACCCCTTAATTAATTAAGGAACATACCGCCTTAATCCACATTAGGGTCCCCATTCCAAGTCTTTGGGCGCTCTGGGTCAGGGTCCCTAGCCCTACACCCTAACCCCGCTGCAACCTCCACATTCCTGAATCTTACTGTTGCTTAGCAGGGAAGGGAATTAGGGCCCTGTATATACTTTAAGGGATTATATAGGGTACCCCATTCCCCCATTCCCTACTAACCAACAGTAAGGGATGCTCACTGGGCTCGCTACCTCCATGCATGCCTGCCAAAGCATTTGGCGAGGGAGCGATGTTTCTCATGAAACGCTAAATCCAAAACCCCATGATGACGATACAGATCAGCACGATGATGGAGTCTCGACGCCGAGGCAAAGGGGACGAAGGAGTGACTTCGAAGTTCTGGCGGTTGAGCGGGAGGAGTTGGGGGGTGTTGAGACCAAATCCTTTTTGGGGTTAGGATTTGACACCGGCAAGGGGCGTTACATCAATAGGTCCTTCTTGTGGAACCCTAAACCCTACACCCTAATACCCTAAACCCTAAACCCTAGAGAGTGCGTCACACCATGGGCCAGCGTTTTTTCGTGGACGCTTTCTGCCACCAGCCCGGCCTTTGCGGGAGCCGGTGGGATCTCCACCAAGGACGCCACATCCTCCACGAGGTCCCGAAGGGGCCAGTCTGGGGAGCGGACGTCCACGAGCCACTTCCTGGCATGGGCCTAAACCCTAGACCCTAAACCCTAAACCCCAAACCCTAAACCCTAGACCCTAAACCCTAGACCCCAAACCCTAAGCCCTAGGCCCTAAATCCTAAACCCATACATCGCAACAAGACACAAAGCCTTGATCCACATCAGGGCTTGTGGACATCCAACTCAAAGCATACCCTGCCGTTTCTTGGCTTAGCTTAGAGAACCCGAAACATCCAAAAGCCCGCAATAGTCTCTTAAAGAACCCGAAACATCCCAAAACCCACAGAGTCTCTAGGTTCTGATCTTAAAGCCCCAAATGCGCGAGCCCCAAAACGCAAAACGCGAACCCTGGAAGGTACTGCAGAGAAACCCAGAGAGAGCCCGAGGATCCCTCTTGAGGCAGGAATAATCCCCTCCCCCTAATATTCACCCCCCCCCCCCTAACTCCCCCAATGTCAAATACTCCCATTACAGTTATACTATAGTGCATCAGGAGTATTCAAGATTAAGGGAGGAGTATAGACCTTCATTCATGTTTTAAGGATGCCTCCTAAAACCCACGGTGGTTTTCCTTAAGGGGTATGGGGCTTTACCGGGAATGTCCTGTAAAGAGGTTGGCACTTTTCCAGCTGGACCCAACCCTAAACCCTTGGCCCTGGGTGAAGCCGTGGCCCGGACGCGTCAATCAGGGCCTTCACTTCCTCCGCTTGCTCTTGGCTGGCTCCTCGGCGGACATCGCTTGCCGTCCGGAGAAAAGGGAACTTGAAAGTAAAGAGGTAAACCAAAGTGACGAAAAGGGCCATGAGCGCGGTGTAACCTGGGATGTTCCCCCTTTGCTAACAGTCCTTGATGGGGATTCTCATCGGGGGTACTATAATCCCTGTTGAAGACTGTTAGTTTAAGGGGGGGACATCCCAAGCTTTCGCTGTCACTTTCACCGGGCATCAGATGGGCATCGAATGTCTGCAAATCCCAGGCTACCCGCAACCTCCTCGAAGCCTACACCATCCATCCTCACTTCAACAGGAAGCTTCAGACACTGCACAAAAAATCCTCGCGCCCAGTAATTACCCTTGACCCAGCTCGAAGAACTCACAACTCGGCAACTGCTCCTGTGCTGGGCCGGACGAGTCT